CTTGCTTCACTCAGACACGATATATCATATTAATTTTCATTTTATTTTACTCAGCGTTTTCATGCGTAGTCCTATAGAGTCGACACAGTCAACTCTGCTGTCCTCTCTCATATGGACGTCCCTCACCGTGTCCATCCCCATCTCTGTCGTTTCAAAATCCCCATCCAAACAAACAGAACCAATCAAGCAAAAGACCCAGTTTCTACCAACTCATCTAGTATTGGTGTCTCCCAGGTCAAAGGGGTATGTACAAGGGGGGGAAGTAAGTTTTTGGTGATAAAAGTTGATAAAAAAGAGGAAAGGTTAAGGTAGGTATGGTATGGTATGGTATAGTGATGTGGTATAGTAAGTAGTAGTAGTAGTAGTAAAGACATCGAAAGGGCGCCGTCTCAACAAGATGCCACTCTCGACATCTCATTACGACAACAGGGTGAGTGAGTATTGGGTAGTGATTCCGTTAAAACGAGACACAACGACAGAAAATGAAGAAACAACCAAAAAATACAATAGCCGCGCCGATCCAATCCAATCCGCCCGTCCCATATCTCAGCCATGGTCGTGGTGGGATTATTCAGGTCCCTACTAAAGACCTAGTTTAACTTCCGAAGACATGACATACAATTCATTGCTTAGATAAAGTTCATAAGCCAAGGAACAATCGCGCTGTCAAACGTTAGTATTAAATCCTCACTGTTAGACCATAGATTTTTACTCACCCAACTGCAACTGTGGCGCCCAGGCCAAGTAATGCCCTGTTCTTCACCTTCTCTTTCCTTAATTCCGTCTCAGTCTTGACTTTCTTCGATCTAGGCTGCTCCTCTGGGGTCTTTTCTGTCTCTTCGCCGTCTTTGTCGCCAACAGAAATATCTGCAGCCTTTCGCTTGCTCTTCTTGGCAGAACCTGGGGCCTCCTCGACCTCGTCTTGTTCCTCATCAGCCTTGGCTTCGGTCTCCTTGGTCTTCTGGACCATCTCCTTGGCTGCTTCCATCATTTGGGCAATTTCCTCAGCGGTTGGAGGCTCGCCGGCTGTGGGCAGAGGAAGCTCAACTTCGGTGATTGTCCGCTTAGTTTCGACACCGTCTTCATCCTTGACGATGTCCTCTTCAACATGAACCTTGACCTTGGGGTCTTCTTCTCTGGGCTCCAGAACAATAGCTGGCTCAAACTCGGTCGATTGCAGAACAATGTCCTCTCGCTTGGTCTCCTCAACCTTGGCCTCGGTCTCAGGTACGCCATTAACGAGATCGGTCTTCTCGGTAATGGTCTCGACAGTCTCGGCCTTGGCGCGGGTGCTTCGCTTTCGGGGCGAGGCAGGGGCGCGCCTGGTGCTCTTCGTCGGGCTGGCAGAACGACGAGATCGAGTGCTTCGAGGAATAGTCGAGGGGGTGGGAGGTGCCAACACAGGTTGCGACGCCTTGACAGGATCAAACCTGGGAGGGGCGGTAATGTTCTTCTTGGGCGAAGACGAGTCTGGAGTTGTGGTCACGGTAATCTTGGCGGGATCGAGGAGAGCGCGAATCCAAGGAGCAATCTTATACTCCTCAGCGAGGACGAGAGCCTGCTCCGGGGGGATCCAGATGTTGCCAGCAGTCTCTTCGGGGCTCGTAGTGGGAAGAGACTTGATGTACCTACGCTCTGCCTCCTCGTCGGATGCCTCAGCGTAAGGGAAGCTGGCCTTGAACATGCCGGTCGCGGAGATGTAACCGTCAAAGCTGCGTCGCATCAAGAAGTAGCTGCTAGGGCTCGACTTGAAGATGCCCGAGACGATACCCTTGGGAAGGGGAGCTCGGAGATGCGCATAATCGAAAACGCCAAGAGCCGCCTGCTCAGTCTCACCAGAGCCGGCCATCTTAGGTGTCAGCTTAGTCTGTCCAAGACGTCTACGCGCGACCAGATCCGTGTCTAGAAACAATTGTGAGCTCGCGTTCTCGCGACATTGAAAAATCTGGGGGGTGTTTACAATCCGGAACATCCTCCGTCATGAGAGGATTGTGCTTGGAGGGCAGTGTGCGCTCTTGATGGGAGACCATTTTGTATGATGCTTAGGCGCGGCGCGACCGATTTGGAGTACCTCTAGATCGACAAATCGAAGCGTAATCGCGACGGGCGGCAGTATGTGCACTCGTATTCCGGCGCGCAAATGATAGTAAATTAGATAGAAGAGCCTGTGAAAGGATAAAAAGTCGCGTCAGTGATCGATTGCGATGAAAGGTGGTCGTTTTCAGGCGCAGGCTCGACTTCGGCGGGAACGGGCCGTAGTAGATTTGGCTTTCGACGTACCGTGTCAATGCAGGGCTTAATTCATTCAGCAGAAGAAAGTAGCCTTGAAGAACGTCAATGGCGCTTCAGGCAGTAAATTTGATAAGAAGCCGGCAACTCTAACGGTGCCTATGCCGTAGAAATAGAGGGAGAGAAGAAAAGCAAGATGAAGTAGATGAGGGTGGAAAAAGGATCGCGACAGACTTGACGAGCGAGACGAGGGAAGAGCTGAGACGAGACGGGAAACCAGTCGCGCAAATTAGATGCTCGATAGCGTCGAGGATTTAGCAGACGGCCCTGTTGGGCTAAAAGCAGATTAGCGTGATGTCAGAAATGGGGAGCTGCGAGATAGATTGGTACTCAGATTTAAGTGATGAGCTGTGCAGATCGCAGGTCGCTCATTAATATTTGATCAAATTACCCCCATTTTACCGTGCACCTGACTTAGCGCTATTACCCGATGAGTTCCCCCTGCCAGCGAAGCAACAGTACGTACCTTTGGAATACCCTTCTTCACGTCCCTCTTTTTTTTTTTTTTACCGGCAGATCTAGTCGCCGATATTCGTTTAATTTGATTATTTCTTTATTTGTTGAGCCAAGTGACGGCGTCAAAAGCTACGTGAGTTACAGCCTAGCTTATCAGTCACGTATCATCGCTTCTACAGTCCATGATGTCGTCTTCGATTTCTGCTACTGCTACTAGCCAGGAGTGCACGTGGGGAACCTCTGTTCTAGAGTCAGCCAGCAATTCTTCTGCCGCCCCTAGCAACCAGCCCAACAGGTCCAGCGCCAACCAAAGTCGTCGATCTTCAGGGTGAACCACACCCCCAACAAGTCCCTAGGGTCCCCCTGGACCTCGCTGTGCCCGGCGCGCGAACAGGCGACTGTTCTTTTCAGAACGCGGGGAAATGCGCATGGGTTCGGGTTGTGGTTTTCGGATTTGCGATTGCGGTTGTGGTTGCAGCGCCATGAGACGGGATTCAGATGGAAGCGAAACAAGTAAGAGACACGATATGCATGGGGCTGAATGAGCTGACCTGGTGAGGTCACTGAAGAGAGACAATGGAAGGGTGCGACCTCTGTGGTCTCACTCGTTTCTGCTGGGTTCGGTAATAGATGGGCTGCTAACACCTGCGACTCTGACGAATGGCGATGCACCATGTCACTTATCGCGCGTCAATCACGGCAATGTTGTGCGGTGTGTACCAATGTTCTTCTCGGCTGATCGCCTAGATCTGACAGCTAAAACAGACCTCAGAGCGTTTGATAGAGTTTGACTGGGAACAAGGGAACTGCCCAAAAGCAATTCAAGCTAATCAATGGCTCAGCCCATGGAGTTCCTGCCACTGCTTCAGAGTCAACCCCAGGTTTGGGTTGCTCATACTGACAGACGAGACTTACATGGAGTGTCCTGTGAGATTGACTATAACTGGGTTGCGTTATTGTATATTGCCGCTCATGTCTCAAATTTGTCGACGTGCACTCACTAGCATGACAGCAACGCGGAGGTTGTGCATTATGGGTCCATTACCGACTGGTCTACGCGTTCAGAGTTGAGTGACTTGCAGGTTCTAAATCGCTGTCTTATCTCGACTCTGAGCAAGTGGCAACCAGTCTACCCTGGAGGCTCAGATCATATAGGTGCCATAAACTGGCCAGAAAGAGCTTCGTGTATCGATATAACCATATCCGAATTTCTTCACTATGACAGAGATGGGAGCACGGGTATGGTATACTTTCATCGCCTAATGTCAAGACGAATTCTGTACTTCTGGATCCGATGAGCAACCCACATCAAGATGATAAAAACCATACCCAGGAAATCAAGCATTGAGAAGCACTAAAGCTTATAGTCGAAAGTTGTCGTGTACTACTGGATTCAGGGGATTGTATAAAGGCCGCGTCAACAAAAAAGATATTTGCTAATGAGAGTGAGCTAGGTGGTCTAACAGAATACGAGCCTCGTCTACCCGTACCCCAAATCGCGATGCCCTCGATCGTTTTTGATCTGATATGATCCGTGCTAACCAACGCCCAGTCATCACCGACTATTCTTCAAGCTACGCAGGCTAGGCAGGAGAGCAATGGATGCACCAACGGGAGAATCAATTTATTTAATGTCTCATTATTCACTTTCTCAAACATTACTGTTCAAAACTCCAAACACTCAGAGCCACAGCCGCCATAAACCATCACAAAATAAGCCTCATCTTGGGGCCCAGTCTCACATTGAACCCCTGAACGAAGCATTCTCCATAAGAATCGGCAACGTCCATTGGCGTTGTTCTCCGTATTTCTGACCTGAGATCGATGATACACCAATCAGAGGCCCCAATAAAGTGTCCTGACCCACCATAGCAACTGCACTCAGTGACCGCCCTCCCCTAGCCTAGCCCAAACTCAGCCCAGCTCTTGCGACCTCTTGCAACACCGCCTGCGGGAACGGGAAGCCCCTCTATCGTCACCGCCATAAGCCCCTCCAGAGCCCGCCCCAGACCAAGCCCAAGCCCAAGCAAGCCCGGGACAAAGCTCACCTCAACCTTGGCTGGGATTAACGAGTAAGCTTCCTTCTTTTTCCTCTTCCCTTCCTCTCCTCTTCTTTCCTTTTTCTTACCTCCAACCTTCTCACCTAACCTAAAATTTGCTTAGGTATCTTAGCTTCTACCGACTTGTCGCTATAGCATCCTCCGCTTCTTCAACACCCCGCCTCTTGCACATCAGCTTCGCCCCGCTCGCCCACCATGGCTTCTCACGACGATGATACTATGCCCGAGGAGACTCAGGGCTACAAGCTCTCGCAGCCTAAGCAGAGTCTGGCTGAGTACCAGCAGATGGGTAGGTACACTCTCCTCTTGGGACAACTCGGACAGTAGGCGCGTTAGTGAGGCTCTGCGATATGCACAACACATGGCCCCTGAGCATGTGGCACCGTCTCGCAACATGGCACCAACATGGCATGATACTTGAGATACTGCTCTGTCCTCTGCTGTGTGATATGGCTAAAGCTATATTTTAGCTGGAGTTATTGCTATAGGGAAATTCTGCCTCTTGTATTTGAGCATACACCTAAATATGACTGCTCCTCCGCTCTGCCCACTTACCGCACCAGCCACTCCAATTGCTCTTCGAACTCAAAAGCTAATACACCTTTCCTTCAGACGCCGGCGATGAGTCTCTCCAGCGATACAAGGAGTCCCTCGGTCTCGGCGGTGGTACCGACATCTCCGACCCCAACGACCCCCGAGTGTGCATTATCCTCTCCCTGACCATGGACTCTCCCGGCCGTCCTCCCGTCACCATCGATCTCTCTACCCCCGGCAGCGAGACCACCCTTAAGGACAAGCCTTTCAACATCAAGGAGGGTGCCAAGTTCACCATGAGCGCCAAGTTCAAGGTCCAGCATGAGATTCTTAGCGGTCTTCACTACGTCCAGGTCGTCAAGCGAAAGGGTATCCGAGTCTCTAAGGACTCTGAGATGATTGGCAGCTATGCTCCCAACACTGATAAGCAGCCCACCTACATCAAGAAGTGTAAGTTTCATGTTTAAAGTTCGGTCAAGATTCAGCTACTGATACAGCCCTCAGTCCAAGAGGAGGAAGCTCCTAGCGGCATGCTTGCTCGTGGTCACTACAACGCCATCTCTAGCTTCGTGGACGACGATAAGAAGAAGCATCTCGAGTTTGAGTGGAGTTTTGACATCGCCAAGGACTGGTAGACGCCAATACCTTGATAGCGCGACCCAACGACAAAACTCAAAAATACATATCACACACGTCATGAGATAATGAGATACCTGAACATTGGAGAAGAATTTTCACACAAAAAACCCGACATAAAGCAAAAGAGAACCCATTTGGGCCGGAGAAAGGTGGTTGCTCTGTTTCGTATCATCTACTCGTCATTGACGAGACAGTACTTGAACTCGGTTTGGAGCTTCAATACTGCAGGAGAATTAAAATCCCTATATACATCAAAGTCTATGCTATGCAATGCAGGTCTATTGTCTATTACAATGTGTGAATGCTTGCTTTCAAGACATGGTATCATTTGATGCGGATATCGTGAAGCCCGAGCTTGAAGCTCCAGGGCACTGTAAGTGTGTATTCGTGATAAAATTCGGCTATAAGAAGTAGTCTGGCAAGGCATTGCCGTCGGCAGACTTTTCGTTTCCGGGTTGAAGGTCCTTATGGACATCGTTCTCGGGCGCAGCGGCAAAAACGTTGAAAAAACGTTCACCCGTGTCACTGACTTCGAGAACGCTGGCCATGTTTCCACAACGGTAGCAGTAGTTGGGCGCACTCCAGACAGTGCTGAGACGATCGTCATAAAGGACCTGGAAGCCCTCCTGACAGAGCTGGTGGGCGCGCAGGATATGCGACATGTTGTTTACAGCCAGGAATTTCTTAACAACCTGTGCTCCAAAAGTGTACCCCGCGCCGCGGGGTGAAAGGGAGAATTCGTCGCGCTCAGGGTCAGGATCAGACCAGACGAGATCGGCCATGGGACCTTCATGGGGGATCTCACGGAAACGGTCTATAATTTTGATCTGGTCGATAGAATGGATAGAAGGGGAAAGGCCTGGTTTATCCCGTTAGTTTAGCCACATTTTGTAACCTTAAGGTTTGCTTACCTCCGTGGACGCAGAATATTTGATCGTTGATCACAACGCTCAAAGTTAAAAAGTCGAACATGTCTGTAAAGTAGTGCCACACATTGGCATTACCATATTTGCGCGAGCACTCTGTATAGAAGCCATATGACTGCGTCACACCGCGCGACTCATGATTTCCTCGAATAAGATGTACGCGATTAGGGTACCGTAATTTCAAGCAAACGAGTAGCGATATTGTTTCGACACTGAACATGCCACGATCAACGTAGTCTCCTATCGTACCCCGCCAAGGTCAGCAAATGTTCACTTTGTCCATATCTCAGTTCGCGGGCGATTACCAAGGAACAAATAGTTTGTGTCGGGGCAGTAGCCGCCGATGCGGAAAATCTCGATTAGGTCGAAGAACTGGCCGTGGATATCTCCAACAACAGTGATGGGCGCTTTAACATGGACGACGTTGGACTCGCGCATAAGAAGTTCTTTCGTCTTGGCGCAGACTGCTTCGATGACAGACTCGGCTAGCAACTCCTTGTTGTACAAGCGCGAGATGCACTCGTCGAGATCGACGGATGCTGGGGAGGATAGGTCAGACCGGGAAGCCTTTCGATTCGGCGCGGCGCTTACAAGGTAGCCCAGGCATATTGGGATGTGGTGGTCGTTACTTTAGATGCCGACGGGGTGATGTGATTGGGTCACTGAGTGAGTATTGTCGTAAGGCTCGAGGATCGTAGGTGAACGTCGGTATCATTAAGGGTGACGATGTAGGGTTCGGCTCCTGGCAAGGATGATGTCTGGAGGTGAACTCGGTGGTTGTACCAACATGATCGGGATCAAGGTGGTTCAGTTCACATGGGCGCGGGGCGAAGACGTTCGTGATTAACGAGGGCGTAAGCGGTGAAAGGTCGAGGACTCGCTATGCAATGAAACAAGACGAATTGTGTGTAGAACCGTATCCGTGGTTACATATACAGTGGGAGGATGGTGATGCTGAAGTGGTGGTGGTATGTGCTTTTTGGGCGGTGGGATGTTTTAGCTGTGTATCGGTAGTGGTGGTGGTGGTTTGCTTAGTCGTTGCTGATGACGGTGCCTCGGTGGGAAGAAGGCCCGGTCATCTCCCCACACTTTGACTAGGTGCTACTAAGATGGAGATACTCGACATTGGGACAATGGGTTTGTATAGCGTCCAGTAATGAAAATCATATTGATTAGATATCACAATAGGTATTAGACAAGATATGCTCTATGAGGCTGAGTTGAAATGAGGGGTATAGTCAGCAAAGTTCGAGGGCAGCAGCTCGTGGCGATCATCAACGATTATAGCGACCAATGGCTATACAAGTCGCAAGAAACATTATACCTTGGGGGGAAATATGTTCTTCTGCGAAGCTTTTCTGTATAACGAATAGCATACAGTTCTCACAGTATCTGTCCTTTTGACAATGGGGCCAGAGATGTCTGAGAACTGGCTATTGAATACAGCGAGTCTAGACAATCAACAAGATGGTACGGAGTAGTTTCATGAAACAATAAGCTTATAATATAACCCTGGACAAGCGAAGCGAATGCAGTACTAATTTGGATGAATTGCTCATGATGGTTAACAATTGAAACGGACACATCGAAGCTTGCTTGAACAATGCTACCTATCAAGCATGCCTACCTACATAACGAGACAATATAACAGTACCATTCCAAAATAGGGCTCTTTTCTAATAATGCATGCCAATAAGGAGCCCTGATCACATTTGTAGCGGCCGGGAATGCCCCAAAGTCTATTTCAGTTTCAACCTTCCTTTACTCAAAAGTGGTCCGTGCGCACGCGACAACACTTTCAGCATCGCCATCCACCAATGGATGACTATCATCGCCATCAATATCTTGTTAATTGACCTTCAACCTCAACCTCAATTTCGACTCCATCATCAAACAATCGGACATCGCCAGCCCTTTTGGGTCGTTCACATCAAATATCTCTGAATGAAGCCCCTCTGATAGAAACCTGAGAAGGTCCAGGGAGGGGGCTTTCGCATGTCGCGACCGCGCGCGGGCACTTGCACCAACAAGCTTGGGCTGTAACATCCCCAAGCATATTTTCAGTCTCAGCAACACAGATTCTATTGCCTCGCTTCGCCTCTGAGTCGCGCCGAGGCCCCTGTTGTGAGACGTATCACAGTGTTACTCAAGTCAGCCTCAGGCCGCTTGATCAAACTTGTTTCCTTCTTTTGGGTCGTGTCCGCGCCTGAACTGAACTCATTCGCATTCTGCTGATCAAGTCGCTGTCACTCTTCTTTAGCATCACAAGTATTATATACACCACAGCGCTATTGGACTGTGTTTTCTTGCTGTTGTTTGTTTACAGGATAGTGTCCTGTGCTGGCCGAAGCTATCTTTCACAAACTAAGCTTCCCTTCATCAGTCATGTCTAACACGGCTCCTGGCCAGTCTCGGCCAGACGATGCCAGATGTTACAACTGCGGCGATTCTGGCCATTGGACTGTTGCATGTCCAGAGCCTACTAGGGAAACTCCTGCGTAAGTATCAAGCTCACTCAGTTTGCTTTTGTCGTTTATACTTTCAAGTATTAACTTGAGAATAGTGGTCTCGCAGCTTGGAGAAACGCCAACACTCCTGGACACGGAGGTAATAGAGATCATCATGGCGGATCGAAAAAGTCTAAAGGTCCTATCATTACCAAATACACACCTGCGCCTGTAACAGCATCAGCACCAGGCGTGGCTCGATATGGTCCTCCTCCAGGATATGGACCACCACCTGCACACTACCCCGCGGGGCCTCCCTCCTATCCTCCACAGTACCCTCCTTACGGATCCCCAGCATCTAACTATGCACCACCTGGCTACTCACCTCCAGGATACTCTAATCCATATCCTCCACCTTCGTATGGTGGTCCTCCCCCAGGTCTTCCGGCACCTCCTCCCAGACCTCCTGGCACTTATGCTTCTCCTCCTCCGCCTCCACCTCAACCCCCAGCGCAACCACCATCATATCCACCACGTCCATATGGTCCTCCTCCGCCTCGTCAAGACCATTTACCCTACCCTCCACAACCTCATTATCCCCATTATCCTCCGCCAGCTTCAGTGCCATATGGGCAGCATCCACCGCCGCCATCATACCCGCCCCCTTATCCCTCTCACAGCGCGCCTCCGACATATGGGCACCCTCCGCCTTCACGGCCTCCTATCCCGTCACCAGCACCACCTTCTGCATCGCGTCCACATAGATCAGCTTCATCCTCTGTACCACGCCAGAATTCTGTATCAACATTACCTGTGTCAGCTTCTTTGCCCCCTAAACCTTCTCTGCCCCCAAAACCACCACAACCCAATCAGCATGGTCAACCTAGTAGAGGACGTCGGGACTTTCCTGACCATTCTCGAGATCATCGTAATAAGCGGAAGAATGACCGACACTCTCGCAATCACGACAACCGACAAAAGAAGAATCAGCCTCAATCTCGGCCGGATCAGAAGGCACAAGACAATAACAACAGACGTCTTGATTCCAAGACGCCCAACCTTCCTAAACCTGCATCGTCTCCTCAACAGGGAGATAAGAAAGGCTCCGCAACTGCCGTTAAGCCAAAGTCAAGCCCGCCTGCTGCTTCTCCTGAAACTAAAAAGGTTCAAGTTGAAACTCCTAAACCTGATTCATCACAGAGACCAGATACAGCACCCGAAAAGACTGTCGACGATGAATTTGAATGGGACAAGAAGGCCATATTCATTGAGGCAGAGCCACGTCATCCGCCAGATGAGGTTGGTAAGCCATTGCCAGCAGAATATAATGATGAGGTGCTTCTTCCTAGAAAATGGGATGCAAAATGCATCGAGTCGGACTATGTTCAAGCTGACAATATCGAGGAATACGTGAAGCCAATACACGAAACCCCGTATTGGTCAAAGATCGAACACGACCCCGCGTTCGTACGAGACGGCAAGCTTCCTAGCGGAGATCCTATAGCCAAGCTCCCGCCAAAGCCAAAACCAAAACCAAAACTAGAGGAGATCGCTCGGAGTGAAAGCTCCGAAAGTGGCGAGGTCCATGAACGACTTGCAAAACGAGGTCACCCAGATGACGATACCCCTGGTGAGCGTCCAGTGAAGAGACAAAGATCCCGAAGTTCTTTAGATGCCAGCCGCAGAGGATCACGGGGAGGATCACGGGGAGGATCACGGGGAGGATCACGGGGCCGATATTCGCGCTCGCGTGATTCATACGTTCCGCAAGGACGCAGGTCACGTCCAGGTAGTCCCGAACGTCGACCTACAGAATTTCGTAATGTCGACGACCAGCGACGGTCTATAGACCGGTACCAACCAGATCGGGATAGAGATCATAGCCGTGGTCGTGGACGTCGCCGGAGTCGGAGTCGAAATCGCAGTCGCAGTCGCAGTCCTAGCCGCAGCCGTCGCCGTAATCGTACTCCAGCGTCGCGCGACTCATCGGTATCTGCTGCATCTTCAGGATTGGATTCATTGGAAGCCGAGTTGCTGGGACGAGATACTAAAGCAAAGACTCCTGAAGGATCCCCGAGACAAAAATCGTCCATGTCGGGCCTCAAGCCAAAACGGCGACAAGCGAAGCTCGATTCAGCTTATAGGTATGTCATTGTGATGCTGCGTGTATGCAGGCAAAACTAATATCAGAATAGTCGCCGTTGGTAGGCTACACAACAGCACTGGTTGCGTATTACAACTTCTCAACCTACTGGTACTTGATGCTTTCTTTCTTCCGTTCCCCAACTTGGAACCGCAACTCGCGTTGCAATGATTCCATTGTATCTAGGCCAGGCACTATTCCCTCTCTACTCTTCTCTTCTCTCCCCTTTATTCATTCAGCACCCTACCCACGGGCTATGCTTCTCTTCATCTTAGACTTTATTAGAATGGCGCTCTGGTTTCGGGGTATTCTTAACGATCACCATGAACAAGTTGCATGACTGGCGTATATCTCACGAGGTATGCGTGGGATCATTCTTAATCTTACTATTTTTTACTCTATCTATCCATCTCCGTCTTTGCCAGTTAGCTGGCTGTTCATGATATCAATCATGACCTGTTGGTGCGCCATCGACCAACATTGTGTGCCTGGCCTTTCCTTTACACATTCCTCTACTATTCTATGCTTAAGTGAATGCTCTGATGTCAGGTCCCTACGATTGAAGGCCAGTCTCTTGTCACCACTGCCAGTGAGAGGTAAGGTAGATGCATAGATATACACATGGCTTTGACGCACAAATTCTTCTTCAACTCTCATGGCATTAGGAGAATTGAGTGGAACGGATTTGGTAAGGTGTTAATAGTTGGCAGATCATCCTCGTGTGACAGTCCTGTCATACTATAGTAGTATTAATAGGCCTGAGCCTAGCTTGTCAAGCCTCCTTGTCATTAGAAACGAGGTTGTATTTACAATCGTTATAGAGGCTACCATTCACGCTCTATATATTTTTGAAGATAGAACATGTAAGTATAATTAAACCCAGCGAGCTCATATTGCTGTCTCATACCAATTCACTTGCTTATATCCGGTAATGGTTGTTTCCTGTCTTCTCAAATGAGAAGCAAGCCAACCCATCACATTACTTGAATAGAATTGCCCTATCAGTGCTAATGACAGTAAATAATGCTTGTTGGACTTGTTAGTCATATTGTCTTATCACATATAGCTATAGAAAGAAGAGTTCTTTCTAGGAGACATGCATTATTAGTCTGCCTTGGTGCGGCAACTACCTACACATGGAACCCACCAATGGGAACAACCCCCTTTGAGATCTTACCTATCCTCGGGTTCTTTTTATTCCTCTTGTATTATATTGCAAAGTGAAGGAACGTGGTTGCACAACTTTGGTTCCACTTTTACTATGTGATTCCGTTATCGCTGCTCATGCAAGTTCAACGTCTCTCCCCTGTATAAACCGAAACTCTATACTTATACAAGCTACAGAGTATGTACACCCCTCATCTCAGTTTGGGTTCAGATCTGAGGGGTAAGGAGAAAAGAGGAATCTGACATGACTACTATGCCGTGTCACCCACGTTACGTTTGCTCGCTCGTAACATGAGAGCCCATATCCTCCTACACGTGTGTAGGTGTAGGTATGTGCGTGCAGTGTAACCGACGCCGTTATTTCGCTCAACAAAGACCAGGCTAGAATAGGCGACTCTCGCAGGCGCCAAAAGGAGTCAGGTGTTTCGGCCGAGATTTCATGCTCAAACTACTTTGGACAAGCTGCATGCTTCTAGTTCTTCTAACTCAGTGGAGACTGACTCTATAGGACCCTGCCCCCTTACGATGGAGTTGTCAGATCCATCTGATCGCTAGACAAATCAGAGTTGCAGGGTCGGTTTACGCCGTAGACGATAGAACAGGCCCTCTATGATCGAGACTTAGAAGACAATGGCGAGCTCAAGAACAAGTTGAACAACGAAGAGAAAAGGTCAAGTGACATATTACAAAAGCTACCGTCATCCAACTCAGTGTCGTATGAATGGTGGGTCTGCTGATAAATCCCGTGTCTTAAGGTGGCTAAACTAGAAAAGTACCTTGTTGAAATCGGTGAAGCCATCGTGAGATTCGATCAGTCTAGAACCGGCATTTGCGAAATGACCCTTCCCGACGCCCAAAACACCTCTATTCTCTCTCTAGCACTGCACCACGAACAACTCGCCGAAAAAGACACGCGGCATTCCTCTAAGCTATTAGCTACTACTTTTAACTCCGAGCTTGCAACCGAACTGAACCCTAGAATGAAGCACAAGTCTCAACTCGACACAACTTTTCGCTCGACGCTAAATAAAACACACCACAGTGACAGGCAGTACATATGGACTGGATCCAGTAAACACACCCTGTAACCAAAAACACCATATCATATCATATCATATCAAACAATCAAGTTCTCGAATCCCATCCCACGTAGATCATGTAACCAGTTGACATTATCTGAGCCGCGCGAATCCTGCATCGCCCATGTCGCTTTGAGCATTTCAATTGCCGTGAAGAGATACCCCCATGGACAGATTTGCCAAATCGACAACAGCCGTGCCAGGGTCCAAGTGCGTTTTTCAGGGTCTCGTGTCTCTGCCCCTGCAACAAAGGTCGGCCACGAAGATGCTTTGAAGTATGGGTCATTTTCATCGATGGCGGCTAAATTTCTCAAAACGTCCTCCAGCAGGAAATCGGTATCAATGGGCCGTACAGACCGAACTAGCGGTAACGCTTGGAGGATGTACAGACAAGCTGCTGACCGGTGTGCCGCAGCTAGACACACTCGACTCTCAAGATCCTGAACAAGGTTGTGTTGTCGCAAATAGTCTGCCCAAGCTGGAATGTCCACAGCAAGAGCCTCGTCTATTAGAGCAATTGCCTTGTCTGCCGCACCTAGAGACTGATCTGTCCAGGGTACTTCATGGGACAGCTCAGATGCAGAAAGAATGATGTTCAAAATCTCCGGAGGGCAAGACAAGTAGCTTGTCAGTTCCACACGTTTCATAACGGGTAAGAACTGGAAAGCTTGCCGTGCAACACGAGCTGCAAGGCCACCAGATGTCAACGTCGAGCCCAAAATGTTGTAGCTTTCAAGAGTCAGTATCCACTGCGAGTACACCAGTAGCTAGGACGGACTTACATGAAGCTGTCAGTAATGACACGGTCCCGCAACATTCTACTAGATGCGTCGGGGTTGCTATCCGGGTTGAGCAATGCCATGATACTTGTGGCGCCTTCCAAGTGGGCCCTCCAGCTCTGGTTGTCTGACTTATCCAGATCAATCAAGTCAAACTTGATAAAAAAATGCATGGCAGCTAATGCCACCTCACTACCTGCCGGGTCAAGGGTATCGAGCACCTCCCTAAGGTGGCTCATGGCCTTTTGCTTCGCCGTCAAGGCATCGATGAGAGCCTGTCGTGTCACAAGATCTTTTGAACGTAGCAGAGAAAGGTAGCCCGCGGGATTGGTGAGGCCTGCCGGTATTTCGGTAACACGACGAAATATGTTGGACCAATGGATCGCTGAAGTCGCAACAAGAATCTGCAAGAGGAGCGGGTGCTTCCGCGTCAAGGGTATCAGCTCGCGAAACGGGTTCTCAGGCGTGTCTCGGACCACAAGATCTTTGCAGACCCTCTCGCTGACTGGGGCATACATTAGCATCGGCCAAGAAAAAAACCAAAGCTGGAGCCAAGACTTACAATGCGCTAGGTAGTATCGTGATGTGCGGTCAAGGTCCTGGAACAACGGATCTGTAAGTGCAGCAGGAGAAGGCCAGGGTATGCTAGGATCGTGTGAAGGGGAGCCCTCAGACTCAGGCGGGGTTGGCTGCTGCTGTTGCCTTTGCTGCTGCTGTTGATTTATCTCTTCTGCCTCTTGAGCGGCCTGCTGGGCCTGTTGAACCAAACGCGCCAGCGGATGTTGGTCGCTATAGTCGGGTTGAGGCTGAGGTCGAGTGCGGTCATGATGACCCTGTCCCTGCTGGTGGCCGGTAGGTGATACAGAGGCGGAAGCATCAGATTCGTCGGGTAGTCGCCGGCCGGGAGGGGGATTGACATTGCCGTGGGAGTCAATTCCTTGGGTCCAAACGAAGACCTTGCCATACCCGAGGCAATCCTGCCCTGAAACCGCACATTTGTGGCATGTCGGCCATGAGCGGTCGCAGCGCAGGCGTCGACGACGACAGTTGTGACACGGTTTTGTGTTGCTTGGCGGCATGCGCCGGGTGCTGACAGAGCAGCTTGACAGCTACAGAGGGGGTCTTGTGTGCTGCGCTGCGCTGTACTGGACTGAGAGTCGAGTCCTAGGATTTTACTCGGTCCAGGTCGTGCTCGAGCTCTTTGTGGCGGGCGAGACAGCGGTTTGGATGTAACGAGCGAGTCGTTACAGAAGGTTCATGGTGGACTCTTAAGACAAAGAGATGATATCGTTGTCGTGGATGTAAGAGAGGGGTAGAGAGGAGTTTAAGTTTTGGTGATAGTGATAATGGTGATGAGGATGATGATAAATAGAAAAAGATTGTGACGGAAAAGAAATGCAATGGAGTTATTATGGAAAGCTAGTACGGACGGAGTATTGTAGAAATGGAGGTAGGTGCTAACTAGGTGCCAGGAAGGCACGACGACGAGGATGGAATGGCACAATTGGATCATGGAGGGGTAAATGGAAGGAAGGGTGCGGGTTGAGATGACTAGAATGGGAATAAGATCAGTAGGAAAGAACATTGAGTCAATACGTCAGACTAGGAAAGACCAGGTCAGTCAGCTCCTTCGGTACCTTATTAGAAATTGGAGAAGAATATCCGCCCATACCCATAAAGATCAAAGATCGAGCCACCCACGTTATGGAACTTTCTTAGACGAACTAATTGAGAGTCTGTCATAAACACACGGTACGGAGTATGGATACTGTACAAACACAGAGCCCAGGGTGTGTGAATCTATTAGACCAACCCAACTAACCAACCGACATAAACAAAACTGACAGGCAATGGACTAATATATACAATCTAGTACTGATTCGACTAGTCTATGCTAAGAGTAGATCTCATGACTCGGCTCCAATAAGAGCTGACAATAGCATCAAGCAAGCATCTGGGAATAGTATGTAATTGTATACCTGGGTATACTGACACACCAATATATCCCTCTGTGATCCATATCATGATCCCCAATGAATACAATGCCCGCCTCACCTCTCTCTTCTTCTTGGAAAATGCCCCACGTTCGCTGTCAGATCTCCCGACTATGGCCGATGCTATTTCTCCCCAAAAAGGCAACGAAAATACATACCGTGCAGCCGAGCTCCGGGACCTGCATCATAAAGCTCCCACCAGAGTCCGCAGAAAGCTTGTCATTGTGGGTTCAACGCAATCACATCCAGCCAGAGGTAACAATGTTGCCCAAATTGGAAACCAGCTGTTCTTCGAAGCCTTGTTCTTTTTGTCTTCTTTTTTCTCTTTTCTCTCCCTTCTGCCTTCTTTTGTGAGGGGTAGACTAATCCTGGTGCGTCTGTTCTCTGTTTTATGCGTTGGAGATCGTGATGTAGCCCCTGCTACGGAGCATATGAACCGCCGTGGCACTATGATCCGCATCCTACCTCGTTTTGCCTTGCCTTGGCATAAACTCCCTAATGCTCTGTAATAACGGCATGACTCTTTTGTCGTGGCTTTTAACCAACTTCGATAAATCTCTTCTCTCACAGCATTAGATTAGTCAAAGAACTTAGTCAATATGAAATTTGGCATCTCCGATTGAAACCCTCTCCAACTATCTCCAACTACAGCAACTAACAAGGCTACTAACTAAAACAACTAGTATATCCCTTCCCTTCGTGGGCCAAGCAAAACAGTTCTAAACGCCAGCGAGGTTTTAGCAGGGAAATCCTCCAACATGGGGCTATTTTGATGGAGAAACCTTGACTTTCTCCTCATGAGGCTCCTCCCACCATTGCAACAACTCCACCAAAAAATGCCAACTGACCTTCACGATACTTGAATTTCTTCACCTTGCTTACCGTCCTTGTTCCACTAGGGTTATATCTTATGGGTCTTAGTTGCAAATCATGGTGATGATGGGCACAGTGGAGTGATTCAACTCCAGACTCTTGTGAACCCTGAATTAGGAAACCAGATAACACATTATGCGTTGTTCTGATCCCTCTAGCTTTACCCATATCGAAGATACCCATTTCAACCCACTCAAGATGACTTTAGTGCCTTCGATTACCGAGTTTTATAAGACAAAATCACAATATGGCTTGGTCAGACGACTATCAACAAATCACCAGTGTCGATCAAGCAGCAATTGGTCAAGCAACGCTCATAAATTTGGCTTTTCGTAATCTCGTACGCATCTAGGCCTCGCGGCATCTCTAGTATCCTCATGCCTCGCAGAGCTGCCAGCCAAGACTGTGACTCTATGACCGTACTCTTGCTAACAGCTGGCTGGCAGCCCTGCCGGCTGTATTATTTTTCGTGGCATCTTAGATAATCGTCTGACACGCCATTCTATTTTTCGTCTTTAAATTCCATTTCCAAGCCCATACTGAGACTTATCGTCTTCTTCTTCGTATTGCCTTGCTCCAAGGGCGAGTATGATCCCATTATTCAAGTACTCTTGTGCCTCATCTCCAGCACCTATGAGGTTGTGATCTGTTCACTTGCCATATTGTGAAGACTGTAAACCGTGTCAGCAGACGAAACCCACTAAGCCCTTGGTAGAGACTGACCTGATATCTTCTCGCTCATCAGCCTCAGGCCCATTTGTAGGTCCAGAGCTGACGACCACGTTTCCGCCCTCATCACCACCAGCTTTGATTGTCGTCAAGGTGGTCTTCGCCTTCCGCTTGCCGTTGCGGAGATCACTGAGATGTTCGAAGTATCCTTCCGGCACTTCTGTGACATACTTGCCACAAAAGACACCGACCTCAAAGTCCTGGACCTTACTTGTGTCCTCAGCAGCCTCCATACACGCGGCCTTCAGTCCGTCAGGTCCATCAAGATCTTGGAAGATAACCTCGTCGGCACCGATGTAGTCGGCAATTTCCTGATTCGTTCGGCCGTGAGCAACCAAATCTTCACAAAGGTTAGTAACAAAACAGCCTAGCAACAGGGCAAAATATCTTCATACCAACAGGATCCGCAAGATCAATACCGTACTTCAATTACTATTAGTATTCTGTTCAATGTTTCGTGCCGGGGTTAAAACTTACAATATGGGGATGTATGCACTCTGGAGAGGCTGAAACAAAGATGACCTTAACAGCACCAGCTTCTCTGGCCATTTGAACCTACAGTCACCCATTAGTTCTCTCTCCTGAACAAATTCACAGTTATTTAACTCACGATTTGTCCAGATGTAGCTGATTTGCGGGTCAGTATTGATTTGCATTTGCAAGAGAGTTTACTTACTGCCACGCACAACACTGTCGTCCACTAGGATCAGGTTTTTCCCTCGGAATTCTGAGTCGATGGGTGAAAGCTTGCGGCGAACACTCTTCATTCGAAGAGCTTGGTTGGGGAGAATGAAGGTTCGTTGAACGTATCGGTTCTTAATAAGAGCTGTGACGTATGGCTTGCCAAGCTTCTCAGCAAGAGTAGCAGCGGCAATGTTACTTGTCTGTTGACAGCGAGTCAGTTTTCACGTTTTCATGGACACTATGTCTCCTAATCTGGGCATACCTCAGGAACGGGAATGACTAGAAAGTAATTAGTACAACTCGAAGGCAGGAAATATATGGATATCTCATACCTGCATCAATCTCTTGAACTCCCTTCTCTCCGAGAACCGCACGGATCTTCTTAGCGAGCTTCTCTCCCATGTTTTGTCGGCTGCGGTATACAGAGATACCATCCATGGTTGAGTCAGGACGAGCGACGTATACGAATTCGAAGCAATCGGGTGTGTAAGGTCGGTCGTTGATAATCTGACGGAACTTGGGAGCACATCCCTTCTGCAAAAAACAGGCCTGGCCAGGGAGGATGTCGACAATGTTTGAGAAGCCGAGTTGCTTCAAAACCACGGATTCGGAGGCAACGAGGTAATCCTTGGTACCGGGGAGTGTGGCGGAAGGTCGAGAACCAATGCAAAGAGGTCGGATTCCATTGGCGTCACTGAATATTGTCAATTTTTGACAAGAAGTCGTATAGAGTGTGACGACTCACCGGAAGGCAAGGATACCAAAACCAGCGATCATTGCAGTGCACGCAAAAGCGCCCTGGCACTTAGAGTAGACATCACTAAGAGCAGTGAAGATATCCTCCGAGTTGGCGCGAGTCTTGCCGAGCTGCTGAAGGCCGTGTGCGAAAATGTTGAGGCTATTGGTACAAATCAGTCATCGTGGTTCGAATTAGCGCGAGCTTCGATTACGCACAGGAGCTCCGAGTCGGAATCGGAGTTGACGTGTCGGTGGGCTTCCTCGTCGAGGAACTTGCGGAGGTATTCGGTGTTGACGAGGTTACCGTTGACGCTCATGGAGATACCGAAGGGGGCGTTGACGTAGAAGGGCTGAGCTTCAGAGCTATAATCGCATTCCTGGTCAGTGGTGTACGAGGTTATGCGCCTAGTAACACATACGCAGAAGCAGTTCCCATTGTAGGGTAACGAACATGGCCCAGGCCTATGGAGAGTCAGTCTCCGTGTAATCTGTACATCGCAATGCCATACCCATGTAACCGGGAAGATGCTCAAGTCGCCGGCCATCAGAAAAGACCTTGCTGGCCATACCGAGACCCTTGCATTGAGAAACTCGTCCACCCTGGCAAACAGCAATACCTGCAGCATCTTGTCCACGCTATAGCTGGTTAACACCCGTAGATATCGATTTTCGGGATTCGGATATTGGCGATGGAGGACTAACATGTTGGAGATAATACAATGTCTCGTGAAGATCAATGGCGGCGGAGGTAGCCTCCTGATCACCTAGCTATTAAGATTGTCAGCACATGATATGTGATGTTATGTTTCATTTCTTCATCTCTTTTGGTAGCACTTCCGTGTCAAGTCCGAGCAAGGGCAAGGGTCTCTTTTCTATGAGCGCGGGGGAGGGGCAATAGAGAGAAGAGAAGAGTGAAGACTCACCAAAATGGCCGAAACACCACACATGTTGAATATCGTGTCACGAAAATAGGTCGTGGAGAGGTTGAAGAGGAATCGAGTGTTCTTACACCCAAACAAGAGTTTGACTTGTACCAGTTCGTTTGTGAAACCTACGGGAAAATTTTTCTTTTCTGGTCACGACGATATCGGTCATTTTTTTGGCGACCACAAATCTTTTGGCGGGGGATCGTATTGGTCAAGGCGGGCCGGACAATGATCCGCAGTGGTGGGGTCCCCCAAAATATGTCATTTCTTTACTCCGTGTTAGTGACAATTAAACCCAATATCAAATCACGATGTCAAGATAATTCTTCATTTCTCCGTCATTTTGTCGCCATTGCAGATAATCAGGTGTTGTTCAATCTAGAGCATACTCTAAAATTCTTAACTTCGACTTAAGTTTCAATAATTAGTCGAAGCTGCAATCCAACCATATCCATCAAACATGCCCAAACCGTGTAAGTGGAAGCCAAGGTATCGATATCAACAGATAACAGACTATCGAAACTTCTTGGAATATTAATCCCGCATTTCGAAGTTCTCGTGTCAACTGACCACCCTAATATAACATTAGCTAGTTCTTACGAATCAAGCTTCACCGCGGTTCCTTGGGCCGTTCATCAAGTATGTGGGGTTTCTTTCTATCCATCATCAGTTTGCATGATCTCTGTGGTGCATTTCCCTACCTAACACCGCAGAAATCTTTATTTGCTAGAGTTCTGTGCACAATATATCTATAGCATTGAAAAGTCTAACAAAATAAATAAATAAGAAAATCTCTGGTATGGACAGACAGTATCTCTCTTCTTTGTGCTCAATGTACCAAGAGGGTGCGGAAAACTAAGAAGCCCACATGGCACGGGAATCCCGGAAGACGGCAACAAAGACAAGTGCAGCCACCGCAGGGTAGGGGGAATCATTATCTACAGACTGCCTGGTCAACTCCTATGCATACCCCTTGTAGCGCTTTTATTCTGATTTATTACATTGTTCCATCTACATTTTTACACTTAGTTGCATGCAGCATCAACATTCATTTCATTCATAAGACTAGGGGGTATAGCCTGCTGTAAATATACATATACCGGTGTCCATACTCCAGAACCTTGGAATACTTATTGGTTGCTCCTAATATTGGTCTGGGATAAAGACTCAAGCAAATTTCTAGTCGGCAACTAGATAGTGTAAACTTTTGATGTTCTTTAATCTCCTTGTCGCAGTCTATCTTACAATTCCTGAGTCATGGCACATCCATTTGACAGGCAAATATAAACTACATCCATGTCGAAATCATGTAATCAGGCTCGCACAGGACAAGGATTGATCTGTATGTATGACGCAATCCCCCGCCAGTTTGCCAATCCTGCACACAAACGATAAAGTTTTCCACAGCCCCAACGTTCTTCTCATGTTTCTTCTCCAATACCCCATATTCTGCCTGCTTCAATCCCAAAACGAGAGCCCTCGACCTGCATGTTCGCATGAAATTGCCAGATTTATAGATTCTAACTCAGCTGCCCTCTTCAACAAGCGAGGAATCACCTCACAAGCCCCGTTGGCTCAGTGGTAAAGCGTATCACTAGTAATGATAAGATCACTGGTTCGATTCCAGTACGGGGCACGTGATTCAACGAAATTCAACTTTTGCCAAATCATCTAACATTCTTTTTCGTGGTCGCGATGATTTCTGTGGTGTTGAGGCAGCGCGCAGCTGCTTCCGTTTTGGTGGCGACGTCGCTTATTTGCACGTGGCACTTCGGGAGCACTCGCCTTGGACCTTCCCGAGTTTCGCATCGTGATTCGGTGTTCCTCTTGTTGATCGAAATTGATCTACAGGGAACGTTCTATGAAGCGACAGATGAAATCAGCACAGTACCTCGGGATGAATCTTGGCGCAAATGCATAGCCCTATGTCTAAGCTTATTGATGCTATCTCAAAGGTCTGCGGTAGATTACATAAAGTGCTTCGCATGGACGATGCCTTGAGCTCAATAGAACCACCACTGTCAGGTAACGGTATGTATAAATGTTCAATGCGTATTAATTGTCTTCCATCTCAAGTTGTGGTATGCTTTCTGTAACAACATCGAGGCGTGGGAAGTGCTTGCATACGTGACATCATCCCGCATAAACCTTAAATTAAGTAAGCTCGCGTGCCGTCCCGCTTTTGTTACACGACACCAAAAAGTCAAGTGCGTCAGCAAAGCTCGCTGAGATTTTACAAAGACTAGCAAAAATCAGGCGCCTGTAGGGCCCCAGTTGTTAAAATGTGTTGCCCCGTACTGGAATCGAACCAGTGATCTTATCATTACTAGTGATACGCTTTACCACTGAGCCAACGGGGCTTGTGTAACACGCTCCAGAATGAAGTCTAAGAAGCTCTGCGGTGATGATGTCGAGAGCTCTGGGAATAGTCGTAGGTCCTTGAGTCAACTGAAGGATTGTATAGTAGGTTTTCTAAGATGTTTGAGTTAGGTTCGCGGCTCTGGCCTGGTAGTTCTTGCAAATTTTAACATGCCATAACAAAACCATTGTCGGTAAAGCCAACGTGTAGGAAAGCCGATTGGTTCAGAAACCCTATGTTCATTCGTCATTCAGCAACAGCTGGTATATTTCCAATATTTCAAAATCAACAACAATCATTATAATAAATAGTCCCCTATGAATAAACTCCCATCTTGGTATGCTCAAAATCAGAAATGCTTCGTTTCATCAACTGCCTTCGGCGCCTCGCCCCTTGCAATCTCTTCGTCGTACGATGGAGTTCTCGAGTTATAAGCAACCCGGATGTCATCGATCTCATCACCAACCTCCATCCATCGATCGCTAGTCGCAGGCACTGGCGAGATCTTGCATAGAGCCCAATACATAACCGATGAAACAATGAAACCACAGAAGTAGTTGAGCTGATAAATGTAGATCGCGCCCTGAGGAACGTTCTTTGCGCCGACAGCATCGGCGAAACCGACCACGTTGATGACAATTCCGGCGACGTAGGCAACATAGCCACGCCAGTTGAAACCACCTGTGAAGTAGTAAGGTCCCTCTTTGCGAGCATCGTAGAGTTCCTTGGTATCAACATAACCCTTGCGCACAATGTAGTAATCGGAGACCATAACACCAGCGATTGAGCTCAGGAACACACTGTATGCTGAGAGGTAGGTTGTAAACTGATTGCTGTCCTTAAGAAGCTGCCAAGGGCAGATGCACAGGCCGACGGCGGCGCAAATGTAACTTCCACGACGAATGTTGAGCCAGCGGGGAAGAAGAGCAGTCAAATCCGTACCAGCGGAAACTGAGTTGGTGTTAGTTAGTCATATAAAACAGGATCCCCTTAGTGAGGTCAGTCACATACCAGAGTTGGCAGCAATATTGGTACCAAGTTGTGCGAGAGCGAAAGATGTAGCAATAAAGAAAACACCGAAGCGCTCGCCCGAGCTTCCATCGTCAATGAACCTGTCCAGCAGATCAAGGGGGTTCCAGATAGCCTCCTCATAGAGTACCGAGGAAGCTGAAGAGACCATAATGCCGATGAATGAAGTGATGGCGAAACCGAAAGGGATCGTGATCATCTGGGACCAAAGTGCGTCTTTGGGCTTCTGCGCAAATCGAGAAAAGTCACTGGCATTGACAATGAGTGTTGCAAAGTTGGATATAGACGACATGATGCCCTTGACAATTTCCCAGGCCAAGTCACTGCCGTGAACAGTGTTTCCTGCCTTCACAATGGGACCGATGCCACCAGCGCGCGAAATGGTCCAGGCAAGGAAGGTAATTCCAGCCACGGGAACAACGTATGCCTTGACGGTGAAGAGATGTCGAACCTTGTGGACAGGGAACCAGAGGGCTGGAAGCGATACAAGCCAGAAGATGAAGAATGAAGCGAAGTGCGCGGTATCCGTACCCGAGTCCTCGCTGAAAGTGTTTGGAACATTGGCCCATGACTTCCAGATGGTGCGGATCATGAGATAGATACAATCACCACCAATGTAGGCTTGCACTCCATACCATACACAGGCTATCAATGTGTTAGTAATACATTCTTATTTTGTTGTGAAAGATAGATCATACCCATAGCAGCACGGTTCAGGACAGGCCACAAACTACCCCAAATACCAAAGGAGGTTCGGTTGGCAACAGGGAAACCAATGTGGTACATGGCACCAAAACGGGCATTGATCGCAACAAAGATACCAGTGATGCTGTATCCAATCCAGACACAGATCCAGGCCTGCCACCATGACAGACCATTAACAATCATTGACGATGAAATCATCCAAGTGTTGATGTTGAAGGAATCGGCGATCCAGAAACCAACAAAGTTCCATGGACCCCATTGTCGGCGTTCCTTCTCGACGGGTTTAAGATCATGGTTCGTAAGCTGCGTAAGAGTTCAGTATAACTCCGTCTCGTTGATCGCAATGCGCAATGCACTCCAATGAAGGAAAGCTAAAGCTTGTGAGGCCTTCATACCATAAGCTGAGTGCTCGTCAAGCCAGGTTCAGACTCGACGGCGGCTTTATCAGCCCAGACTTTAAATCGGGATCTGGTCTCCATGGCTTCGGATGTATGACGAGGTGGGAGGCGGAAGTATAAAAGAGTAACGGGGATCAAAAAGCTTCTGAGATGTGATCTAGAAGAAACTCAAAAAGCAAGATAGACTTTTTGTACTGTGATAGACCTTGTCCGAGGTGCTTATGACGTGTAGGTGACACCAAGTAGGGCTGGCAGACTGGGATTAAATCCAATGACACCAAGGAAGGATGGAAGAATGTGAGATGGTAGTCTTGCCAAATGATGAGAGGGGACCAATTGGAACTTCTCCACCGTCTTCTTGTCTTGGAAAGTCTGGTCGCGGCGGGTGACAGGCAGTATTTATATTTATGGTTTGAGATTGACATGCCGCGCTGGCTGGTTGCGTTGCGGTTGCGTTGACAAGAGGAACTAGACCCCATCCTGGCTCCAGGTTATCAGCGCTCAGCAGCCACTATCAGTCTGATCGTCATCCCCAGACCTGGCCGTTGCAGATAACTAGCCGACAAGGAACATACCACGCAAGGACCCTCGCCGGCGGCCACTCTTGCCGTAGTAGGTCAAGCTGAGAATGGTTATCCTTCCCCATGTTAACACCGAGAGCACTTTGCATTTCCGGTCGGTAGTTGTTTGTTGTTTCATCGAGCACACGACCAATTTGTGACGGTATTGTACAGTAAGATATCCAGACCTCGAAAAGCAGAAGGATCTGCATGGCAATACCATCACGCAACAGCAAAGTCGAAGGGTTCATAGGTATCCATTCGAATATGATCAAAGTACATAGTACGTATGTTATTCGGCGTAGAATAGAACGATGCGGAGAGATGATTCGAGTGACATGGATACGATAATGGGGCCCGAGAAGCCAAGTCGTCTGTCGGTGGGTGCCCCCACAAGACCCTAAATCCATGGAGCAACACCTGGTATGAGTGGCTGTTGAATGGGGTTTTCGGGTAATGTTGACGTAGACGTGAGATTTATCCCCGATATCGCTTCATATAAAGAGATGGACCAAGATCGAGTTCGATTGTTTGTTGTTGTTTGTTGCAACAGAGAAACATAACGTGCGAGCGGTTTGCAGTGCAGATGGTACGAACTCCTCTTGAAGTTCTGGGCCTAAAAGATGCTCTGCAGAAATGCAACTGCAACTGCAGGCAGGGCCGCCGCTATCAGCGCCATGTGAGCCGGAGCCAACCCATTGGAGGGTCGATTACCCCGGGCGGATATAAACGAAGCAATACCATTGGCCAACTCGCTTTCCTTATCACCGCAACGATGCGTCTAAGATACGGGTACCGTACCGCCCTTCCCAAACTGAGTTAGTATGGAACTACAGAATAAATCTGTTACTCGATCTCATCGAGTCAACCGTTTCTTTTATAGTAAATTTGTCCAGGCTTGCAGTTATCTGCCCTATCAGGACTATCTTGAACTTCATCACGTAGTAGTCACTGAAATGCGATCTCGTTGTCAATAGCTTAGGTCATTTCGGGTTTCAACCGAAACTCTATTGCATGATCTCTCCCATACCCATCTTATTCTGGAGCTCGATGCGTTGGTTCTGGTTGATATCGGCAAGAAAATCCTTGTTCCCGTTTCTGGAAGCACCTCGCGATAACACTTTTCAGCTTCATATTGCCCCAAAAGTTCGCCGTTTTTACGGTGTATGGTTAGATTAACAACGACACTGTCACAAATAACATACCACCTTCGAAATGAAGTCATGTACTTCAATATTGGGTTCAGTTCTCCCGTATAGCGTGGTAGAGCTATTCTGGACTGGCATGACCTAACCGAGGGCAGAGTCATGCCGGTACATCTTAAAATCCAAGTAACACCGAGGCAAAGCAACAATAAGACTAACTTCAATAAGCCCTTGGTCCATGCATAGTATGATCGAACTCCTCACGAGCTGCATTCTCCAGAAAAGTAGGCCAGTGGCTGTAATTCTTCGGTTTTGGATCGGCATTCGTATATCAAGGAACACTGACAGTCAATGCGTCTGATATGCAAGTATTACTTGATGAAAATCACAGACCCGACATCAAACTCCATCAATGTCTCGGAATCACATCAGGGAGAGCGAAACCGGCATTGGTTGTAAGTCTGGTCATCGGCCCGCGAACTTTGTTAACTCACTCGTTCGATGGGGCAGAGTCAAAGACCTCATACGATTTGAAGATTTTCTTCTTGAGTAGCTGAAAACAAACACCGTGAAATCGGATCAGGAAGTGATTTGTTAATTTCGTTAAGTATGGCTATTTTGTGATTATAGAAGACCAAGATGTTATTTATACAGCACGTTTAGATCACGCGTATGAACTCAAATTTCCAGTGTAAAGCCAATCAGTGGAAAAATTATAGACAGTATTGAATGATAAATTAGAAACTGAAACGCCTGAGTTGAGGTCAGTTGACTATATTATCATGAGCACCCAGATCTCCTGATAAGTCACTTTGAAATCCGACGATCGTGAATCCTGGAACTGCCGCCCTAGGGTAATCTTCTTCAAGCACGGCTGCATTTTGTGGTATCGCTTGCATTCCAAATCATATCGCGAAGATCCATATTGGATTTTCGCCTGATGATAGTATAATTTGAGGAAGCTCAATGAGACGATAAAGAGTATAGCTTATGATTGGACTCGACTTATGCTGCGTCACCATCCACAATAGGAGCAAGCTTCAGGGGCACCATTTCCAAACAACCTGGATACCCTACATCAGAGAGAAGTTACCTATCCAATTGATATTTACAGAGTAGCAAGTCTTCAATAATGACGACTGCCGATATTCCGAGACTCTGCTAGTGTCATGGTCCAGCAGCCAAGGCTATGGTTCAGAGAAAACAGGGTCCAAAGAAAAACAAAAGAGAAACACGTGAATGGACCAATAGCTTCTGCCCCGCGATTTGAGTAGTATCGAGATGAGAGTGCCGAAGAGTTGCGAGAATTCATCCCTAGGCCATAAGTAATTGGATATAAACAATCTCGCTCTACCGATTTACTGTCCGACTATTCTCGGCGCTTCCTTCTATTTCAATTTAATAGGTACTTCCTTCTAAGAAGCACGACGTTGGACTCTTCCTTCTTCAAGCTCGAGACCCACACTTTGTTTCTCTCCCCCACCATCGTCGTCAATTCCGCTTCTTTTCTCCCCACCAACCTCAACTTTTTTACCATCTCATTCAAACCTTTTTATTTACCAAAGTCCTTGATATACAATCATGGAGGACCAGTTGGTGCAGCTCCTCTCCAACACTCAGCTGTCAGAACAGGGTCCTAGACTGCAGGCCGAACTCGAGCTGAAGCGCGCCCGAACGAATCCCGCCTTTCCCCTGTCTCTCGCCAACATCGCCGCCCATACCTCGATTGATACCAACATCCGTCAGGCTGCACTGAGCAACCTGCGACTTTTTATCGAAAACAACTGGAGTAACGATGACCCTGACGATGAGCCCATCATTCCTATCTCTGATGAGGTGAGAGGCCAGCTCAAGCAGGTCCTGCTCGACCTTGTCTTGAGCCAGGAGGACGATCGCAAAGTCAAGATCTCAGCCAGTTACGCCGTTGGCAAAATCGCTGTGCACGACTTCCCTGAGCAATGGCCAAACCTTCTCCCTACAGTTATCTCCGTCGTCCCGGCCGGCACCGATTCACAGCTTCACGGCGCCCTGCGATTACTGAACGACATAATTGAAGAGAGTTTGAGCGAGGACCAGTTCTTCTCAATGGCCCAAGATATTGCCAAGGCCCTTGCAGAAGTCGCCCTCAACGAGAATCGAAAGCCCATGCACCGAGCACTCGCTATCTCCATCTTCCGAGGATGCTTCGATCTTCTTAATATGATCAAGGAGGACCACGCTAAGGAGGTCCGCGCTTTTGCGGATGGCCTTCTTCAACAATGGAACCCCTTCTTCATTACCGTTCTACAGAGCCCTCTTCCAGAGGCCAATCTCGAGAGCGGGTCTCAGCCTGACTCTTGGAGCCATATTATCGCTCTCAAACTACAGGTCGTTAAGACACTCCTCCGAATTCGACGCGTCTTCCCTAACCTACTCCTTCCCCAAAGTACCATCTTCTTCAGTGCAGTCTGGAAAGAGCTCTCTACTTTGCAGAGACCCCACGAGCAGCTCTATATCAAACAGGATGCCCAAGGACGTCTCGAAGACTCGGACAACCTTCCATATACCTTGGATTTCCTCATTCTCGAGGAATTGGACTTCCTTAACCAATGCTTCAGAGCCCCTCCTGTGCAGGCTGAGCTGGACGGCCACCTCAACGCTCATGCCTCAGCTCAAGAGGTTCCGTGGATGAAGGAGATTATGAACATGCTTATTGGTTATTCGCGAGTGACCCGGGAGGAAGAGGAATTGTGGGATATCGATTGCTCCCTGTACCTTGCTGAGGAGACCTCCGTGACTGCCAACTACACCGCGCGAACCGCTGCTGGGGATCTGCTGATCAAGATGGGTGAGTGGTTTAATCAGAAGACGATCGACGGTCTGTTTGGTCAAACACAGCCCCTCTTTGGTGGTGAGGGTTCCGACTGGCGAAACCAAGAGGCGGCGCTCTACCTTTTTGTCATGCTGGTTAGTGACTTCCAAGATATGAACAAGGATATTCCCGAAGCAGTGGCACACGCATACCTTTCTCTGGTTGACTACGCTATTAACCGACCCGAAGAGCCTCTTCTCCGCGCCAGAGGTTATCTCGTGGCTGGTATTCTTTGCCGCTCTTTCCAGACCCCGGTTGAGCTGTTGGACCGCATTATCACTTCTATCACTCAAGAGGAGTCTGAGGTTGTGCAAGTCGCCTGTGTCAAGGCCGTTGAGGGTTTGATCAACGCTGGCCAAGTGTCGGCCGATAGGCAGGTTCCTATTATCAACGCCATCCAAAGCTACATGAACAACAAGGACCCCAGTGATATGGAAGATGCAGATGAACTTCTCGTTACGCTCGCTGAAGCTCTCCGCGCTGCCATCACTCTCGACAAACGCATCGCCCTGTCCAACGATGTTCAGTCGGTTGATCTGCTTTTCATGCTAGCCAAGCTAGGCGCAAGCAACTTCCAAGTCACCATGCTGATTTCCGAGGCCTTTGAAGATGTTGTTGCTGATCTATCTGACACGGAGTCTTACACCGCTCTCTGCGGAAAGCTTCTGCCTACGCTTACCGGCGCATTTGATGTAGCTAACCTCACTGAGGATAACCCTCTGGTCACTGTGAGTCTCTTAATGAAACAGTTTACGTGCTTAACTGACAACCTCCAGGTTGCCACCGAGTTATTGGCTGTCTTGGCCGAAAACGGACCTGAGCCTCTCCCCGCAGGGTTTGTCGCGGCTACTTTCCCTAAGCTGAACCGTCTCCTTATGGAGTCTACCGAGGGTGAGGTCCTCCGACCTGGATCTGAAGTTGTGAAGTGGATGCTTCAACATGATCATCAGCAAGTCCTTGCTTGGCAAGATGCGAACGGCCGTTCTGGTCTGGAGGTTTGCCTGCACATCGTTGATCGACTTCTGGGTCCTTCTATTGAGGATAACTCAGCCTCCGAGGTTGGCGGCCTGGCTGCCGAGCTTGTCGAGAAGGCTGGCCAGGAGCGCCTCGGTCCTTTCCTACCTCAGCTTCTACAAGCTGTCGCTAACCGACTTGCTACTGCTCAAGCTGCAGCCTTCATTCAATCTCTCATCCTTGTCTTCGCCCGACTTACCCTCTCTGGCGCTCAAGATGTTGTGGAGTTCTTGAGCCAGGTTCAGATCAACGGCGAAAGTGGTCTGCAGGTTGTCATGGCCAAGTGGCTAGAGAACTCTGTCAACTTTGCTGGATACGATGAGATTCGACAAAAGTATGCCCAACTGAATCGGACACAAGCCATCTGCTAACTGGATTCTTAGTGTTATTGCTCTGTCGAAGCTTTACTCTCTGAATGATCCTCGCCTGGCCCAGACACAAGTCAAGGGCGACCTGATCGTCAACAACGACGATGGGCTTATTAAGACACGCTCACGCGCAAAGCAGAGTATGTATCCAACAATTCACGACTTCTCAACCACCACCTCCACCTTAGACTCAATCTACGCCCGATACGCTGAAAGTCAGCAAGCTAATAAAGCCAACCAAAAACCAGACCCAGACCAATACACAATCGTTCCTGCTTCCCTCAAGATCATCAAGGTCCTCATCGAGGAGCTTCTGTCTGCATCTGGCCAACGGGCTGCTGCGAACGCCGCCTCTGCTGCTGTGGCGTCTGCTAGCTTTGACGACGAGAACGACGAAGAGGGCTGGGAGGATGAGGATGATACTCTCGACCTCAGCCTAGGTACCACGAAAGCTGACCTGATGTCCTTCATGGAAGGTGGCCAGCGACAGCGAGACGACGAGACCCAAGCCTACCTGACCGACTTCTTCATCCGTTGCGGTCGCGAGAACATTGCCAACTTCCAGGAGTGGTACAGCATGCTTACAGAAGAAGAGAAGTCGAAGCTCAACGAGGTTGCCAGCTCAGCAGGACAATAGACTGGAACTGCATATGTTTGCAACGGGTCTTCGAAGAAGAAGGACAGCTCCGTTCGTCGAAGGGGACAGCAGAAGCTTTTCTTCCGTCAGATGGAAACATTGGAAAAAGTCCATGCTGTGCAGCTTGAGATGGAGCGCGTACAGAAGGAGATAGAGAGGGTGATAAACTCTAAGTCATCGAAACTGGTTTAATAGATACCAGAGAAGCCTGCCTTATTATGACTGGACATGAATTGTAGATAGAATTAGAGAAAACGTGCGGGCGGTCTGTTTGAGAGAGTATGAATTAACGAGGAACGGGTCATATCACAATGGAAAAGCCAAACATGAAATGGATGAGTAGAAGAGAATTGATCATTAATCATTCTGTTCAAGCGAGCGTATACCCGCCATTAGTATCTAGCTAGCCGTTGCTGGTAATCATCGCTTGTCATGATGTCCTGTTTCTCTGCTATTAGATGATATCTCCGCCAAAGCCTCCTCCAAATCCGCCACCGTAACCTCCACCAAAGGGATTGTTTCCCCTTCCACTACCAGGACCAGGGAATCTCGGATTGCCACCAGGGCCAGTGGGATCCCAGCGGGCTCCTGGCGGTGCTTGGGGATCGAAACCGGACGAACCGACACCTCCTTGTCCGCCAAACAAAGGATCATCGAACGTAGGATGCATACCTGAGCCACCACTAGGACGAGGTAGTCCTCCGCCAATGAAGGAACCACGGAGAGGATCGTGCGGACCTAGACCGGGAGGATTTAAGTCATCGTGACCGATGTTGTAGGGTGATCTTCCTGGCATTTGAAGACCGCCTCGTGGAGGCCGATTCATCTCGTACTCATCCTCAAAGCCGGGAGGAGGGAAGTCTCCTACTGGAGCAGGCCGGGGACGAGCCATCTCAGGGAGTGGATTCGCCGGGGGTTGAAGCGGGTGTGGGTTTGGTACAGGATCGCCACGGAACGGACGGTCTGGGTTCTGAGATTCTTGGGCGCGGCGCTCGGAGCGTGCATTAGCTTCAGCTTCAGCTGTCTCGACATAGCCTTCGCTTTGAAGTTTTGGGATGAGCTTTTGTACGATATTGACCTTGAGATCATGTAGGATATCTGGCAACATGAATTAGTATGTGATGGCTACCCAAGGGAAGCGAAAGGACATACCAGCAATAGCTTGCTCAGAGGTGAAGACACCGCGGAGTTTCTCGGGAAGATCACCTCGATCTTCCTGACCGTCCTTGATGGTGATGCGAAGTGGGAGTTTCTTAGAATCCACAACGTCGCTGATCGACCTCTCGAAACGACGGATGTTGTCATCGCCAACAGCTACTCCTCGAACCTCGACCTTTTTACCCATCCGGTCAATACGGATGCTGAAGGTCATGGCTGATTGCTTGTGTTTGTAGACAAAACTGTAAGAACCGAAACCCGAATTCCATTGTGGTGGTAGACGAGGAGCGAGAGACTCGCATTCGGCTGTTCCATGTGAGCTAAGTCATGATGATATTGGATTGTAAACTTACGTATGTTCTTGTCCTCATCAAAACCCAGGAGCTTGAAGCCGAGAGCAGCGAGATATGAGTGGATGAGGAGAGCGATGACTTCGTATGATGAAGCGAGGTCAGATGAACTGTCATTGGTGGGATGCGTTGGTAGAGCGTCTGCCATGCCATCCAGAATGGCGGCAACGCTGAGAGGTTCTGACATGATGAACTGCGATGATTCTGATGTCTTTTTTTGATGAAGTAGTTGATGAGTGGAGTTTAGTTATAGTGAGTAGTTCGCTAAAGAAGATAGTGAGTGGAGAAGATGGAGGTTATGAGTTAATGCTGAGGAGGCTTGGGAAGCGGCGTCATGAAATAGTTGCCTCTTCAGCCCTATATGTGGATCCTACAGTTTGGGTATCGCGGGGCAGTGTCAGTGATTCGGGAGAAAGGCCATGTATTGGCGCAGAATTGGTTGCCTAGATAAGGCATTAATTGGGCGCATAAGATTAATAATCTCAGGCTTGAAATATGGCAACACTGAGTGACCCCAACATGCTATGAATGCCTCACTAATATGTCAAACTGTATCTACCGAGGTAGGTAGACATGCCATTCTCATTACGACACTCACGTGATATCGCGTTCCACTCAACGCGTCCCACCACGTACCGTCTCAAACCACCAATTTCTACCATCACCAGTTCTTCACGAACCTCAACTCATCTCAACTCACCTCAAAATGGAAACAGGCCCGTTAATCCCCGCCTCCCAAGCATCCCATCTCCTTTCCTCATTCACTACCTTCCTAACACTAACACTGCACACCCTCCTATACCACCGCGCTCTCTACCCCAAGACAACCTTTCTAACCGCTCGAGCCCTTAATCTCCCCGTCCATCAATCCCGCCATCCCGGTCTCTGCACATGGATAAACGACGCAGTGGCTTCAGTAGCGGCACAATTACGCAAAGGAACTGTACGTCGTATAGCTATTGCGATGCATGCTGCAAAGACGTTTGATGTTCTGGAGAGATGGGTCTTTGACGTTGATTTATTTCCTGCCGGGTGGGGTGATAGAGAGGAGGCGACTTACAACCCTGCGTTGGTGGAGGGTGACGATGATGGTGTGGTGAATTGGACGGATGTTAATGAGGCCCTTAGAGGTGCTCTGAGGAGGGTGGCGCAGAAGGCTCAGATGATGCCCGATTTACCTGAAGGGAGCACTTTTACTGTTGCCGTTGAGCTACGTGATGATGCCGCTGCTCCTATAGGTGTAAGTATATCGGTTATCAGACGAATTTTGACTGACTGATCTAGCATCCTCAACATTGGATTCCTTCTCAACCAAATCTCCAACCACCAAACGATACCTCATTAAAACAAGGCTCTTCCCTCGGTGGTCGGAGTACAACACCAATTCGTTCTGTCCAGGCCGGTCCTTTATTCTTTGAATGCTGGATCGAACAAAGCAGCCCATAGCCTCACAAAATTCACATATATGATACCCAGCTTGAACAGATAGATTATCGTCATCATGACACTTCGTAACCTCTAATTCATATTGTATAAACATGACATCAATCCATTATTGATTGTCCCGGCCACCCATTCCCAGACTTGGACCAGTCCGTGCCATACGACCCTGATCCTACCCCCTAATCCGACAAAGCCCAGAACCCGCCGCGTTATGTACAGCCCGGCCGTGGAAACATGACAAATACCTTGGCTCATTACCATCAAAATCATTTTCAAACGCCCAAACAGCCTTCCAGCCAGCCTCCCAGAGGACAGCAGCGCCTACTCCGTCGTCCCCTTCAACGCCGCGCGGAGACTCACCATCTCGCGCTTCAGTCGCGCGTTCTCCTTCTTCATCCGCGCTGTCTCGTCACTTTGATCGCGGAGTCGCATCATCAGCTCTTCCTTTTCGTCCTTGCCCTTGCCCTTGAGGGCCTTGACGATCTTGCCAAGCTCTCCGTTGAACTTCTCATATAGTAACTCGTTCTCTGCCACTGCCTCCTTGTATAGTTGATCAATCGCTCGCACCTTGGCCTCGGCTGCCTTGACCGTGGTTTCCATGTCGCGCTGGATTGCATTTTGCTTATCTTGTAGTTCCTGAATAGCGGTAGGAATGCGGTCTTCCAACTCCCGAACTGCAGCACTGACTCGTCTCATATCGACAGACTGGGAGCCCGGAGGTCGTGTATTGTTGACACGTGCCATTTCCTCACCAATTTTGGATAGCTCAGACCTGAGAGAAGCATCCACGTCGTCGACAGCCTGCTTCTCGGTGTTGAGTCGCTCTCGAAGCTTTTGCGGGGACTGTAAGCGGAGTCTCTGCGTTCCTCGCCTGGTTGGACTTGAGCTTGGACGTGGCGGTGATTCAGATCCTGGAGGCGCTGAGCGGTAGGGGCGCAATGTCGGGATATTAGTTGATGACAGGGTCCTCGAGTGCCTGTGACCTTTGGTTGGTGACGTGCGTCGTGTTGGCTCTTCTGAAACTTCCATTGGACTGGGCGCCAAAGTATTCGGCGACGTAATTTGCTGAAACGGATCTGGAACATTCTCCTTTTGCTTCGAACCTCTCAACGTCGCTACACCGGGACTAACAGGTATTCTAGACGGAGATGTCGCCTTGGGGCTCGCGTTGACCTTTTCTGATGTTTCTTTTGCGTCTTGAAGCGGTTGCGGTGATTCATCATCTTCGAGTGTAGTTGCTGCCATGAGACTCTTGAGGTCTGATAATGAACTACGCCGCTTCTTCTTGGGCGACCGTGGAAGTGGTTTCTCTGTCTCCGGCTCACCAATGGTCTCCAATAACCTATGAGAGCTGCCAGGTCTTTGCATTTCGTCAAACGCCCCTGCTATGGGCGGACGATCCTTGGAACCTGGGCGTCTTGACAGCTTTTTGGGCAGTGTGTTATCATCGATAGACCTTGAACGGCCTAACGATGCTTTAGATAAGCTGTTTACCTCACCTGTGGCGGGATTTCTATGCTTGCTGAGCTGTCGCCATACTGAAGGTCTCTCATCTCTGCTATTTTGCCGTAACAGATTTTCGAAACCAAATTTGCGACGCAGCGAAGAGGTGTTTGAGGCCAATGAGGGCGTGTACCCCTTGCCACGGATCGCCGAGTTGATCGACTCGTATGTTGAGTTATCAAGATTAAAACTGTGATTCAAGCCGGGTTCTTCGAAAATTCGATCGCAGTCTTCCACCAGACGATCGAGAAGGTTGATATAATTAGGAGCTGTTCCATCATAGACGAGCAGCTCTGCGAAAGCAAGTGTTAATGCTCCCCTGTCACCATCGTTGCCACACCCGTCCAGCAGATTGGCCAAAAGCTTGATGAGGGCAGTGAAAGCGCGACGATTCTGTGGTGCCATGTCTCCAAACAAAAAGTTGACGAAATCCGCAAAGTCACCAGGCACTCTCTTATTCACCCGCGCCTGGAGCGTATCAAGGGAATGCATTGACATGACAGGACCGATTTGATCGGCCCAAGCAATGCGAAGGAACTTTTCAAAAGCCACAAATATGACCTCGGTGCCTAGATCGGCGGCGGCGTCAACGTCAAACGGGCTCTCAATCAGTCTGTTGTATAGTTCGTTCACAGACAGCTCGTCAACCACAGAACGTTGGAGCAATGTCCGACCAATAATAAGGCCCTTGCGGGACTGGAGAACAGCAACATATCCAGTAAACGTCTGCTCTAGGCGTACTAATGGGTTTTCGGTCCGGGTTTCCTCTTGAGATACACTGTCCTTGCCTCCCCTTATTGAGCTGACAACAGATGCTTGGCTGTTGTTTCGGTGTATTGAAGGTACCTGCTTGTGTTTTGAGCCCAGACTTGCCGTGTCGGAGATATGGACAGAGCTGCCTCCCCAGAAACTGGAGAGAAGCTTGACAGGGGATGAAGCCAAGAACGATTTGGTCTTCTCCGCTCTTGTGTTGAGTAAGAGTCCATGTAGTGTCTTGGAGTAATATGAGACGAGAGGTGCCGTCAATTGCATATTGGAGACACTATGTTGCGTGCTTAATAGTTGAATAACTGTTACTGGTTAGCTTAAGGCCCAAGGGATTATCGTGCTGATTCTCACCTCTTCTCGACATTGTGGGGAGGAAGTCTTCCAGAGCAACTTCGTCCTGGAACTGCCTCCCATTCAGCCCAACTGTGAGCATCGATACCCTCTTCATATCGTTGGTGGCCACATTCACTACAATCTCGACACCGTAATGGCCTACAGGGGCTCCTTTAGTGCCCCTGTCATGATCGACGACCACTCGAATCGGGGCAGGCTCCTTGCGGCCCTCGATGAGTTGGTCGGCGCCCTCCTGGAAGATAGCTGCGTGAAGACCCAGATTGCTATCTGGCATACGCGCAGATCGTAGAGTCCAGGTTGGATCCTCTCGCTCTTTTTCCGAGAACCGAGCTTCGACTCTCGCTTTGACCACATCCTCTCCCCACTTGGCGGCTCTGGCTTCGTACATCTCTTGTAAAAGGAAACATCGTGATGTGACGGCCTTGCTGATCCGGTGCTCTCCTGGATGAGCTCCCCTCATTTCTGATGTCGAAGTCATCCAGAAGAGTGTGCCATCTACTGCCTCGGTAAATCGCACGTCCGCCATATCATGCCATCCTGTAAATACGAACTCATATGCCGCTGGACCTCCCGCTGCGTTGGTCATAGAAATAAGTAAACCAGCTGCTGAAGGTTTCTCGATCTCACGAAGAAGCTCTCGTCCTGTCATATTCCCGCTCATCTTCTTGAGAATAACAACACAATCTGAAAAGAGGAGGAAGATGCCAGATTTATCTGACTGGTTGAGCAACGGCTGAAAAGGTGGTGCTAACTCGGTGAAATCAGCGGCTGCAATGAGACGTCCTTGTGGTTCAAGATTCAAAGGCCAGGCTTCAACCATATTTCGAAGTCGATTGGCGACATGAGGCTTGTCGGGTAAGGGATCGTCCATTGAGCAGATATTTGTAATGATGTCTCGCGCCTTCAACATGGGTTGTAAGGCGGGGTGTGTCATAGGAATACAGCCAACGATCTGATCTATAAGCAAGCTATAGCGAGGAAGTCTCTGGACAGGCTCAATAAGAATAGAGCGTATCGTCTGCTCACCAGCCTGAGCCACCCTTTGTTTGAAACTCGATTGCTGGTCGAGGAAAGAGTTGAGTAACGTGGGAAAATGCTGGCTGGCCTTGATATAATCCTGATAGCACTCTGTGAACTTTGGAAACCACTCCAAGAATAACCTGGCGATTTGTAGAGCACCACTTGGGTCTTTTGTTCTGCCCAGTTTGGACCCCATAAAGCTCATCGTAGGTGTTTCCATATCTTTCAAGGCTTCTTCTTCGGTGTCGTTTATGATCCTCCGCATCTCCTCCATAAAGGCAGAGTTGACCTGAAGGATGCCATCTGCAGAACTGGGGAAGAGCTTCTCCAACTCTTCCTCGGAGGGGCTTAGGCTGCCAGGAGCTCGCGCTTGAGCGCTCTCTCGAAAATCGGCTGCGACATGCCTTACCAGCTCCCTCACTTTGCCCACATAGCGCTCCTCAGTCTCCACCAATTCTGTCAGCTTCATGCGCAATTCGACCTTTTGATCTTTTAGAAACGACTTGCTTCGATTTAAGGCGGTCGGCTTGGAGGGCGCTCTTCGTAAACGACTAGTCGGCAAAAAGACTGGCTCTCCGAATAACTTTATCAGCGAGGTGTATCCTCCATACTGGCGCAAAGTTGGGTCGAGGATATCCTCTTCGTCGTCGGGCACGTCCTCGAGGTCGGCGGCTTGAAGTGGTACGATAGCGCCTGGTGGCAGAACAAAGTCGAGGTCAACATTACTGATGTGTTGTGTTTGCAGAGCATCTTGTAATGTCTCGATGATGTCGGCTGTGTGGTCGCTCTGGACCATGTCCTTAACAATCTCGGCAGCATGTTGCTCGCTGAACAGAGTAGGTGCACTGCCTGGACGTCGACCTCGCGTAGGATATAGGTTCTTGAGGTATGTTTTTACGCCATCGGGCAGTTCTGTGAAGTACTTGAAGAGGCCGAAGGCGAGAGCGCGGTAGACCTCATCGCCCTGAAACTCGCGGGGTAAATGGTGGACGACACCGTAAAATGGAGAATTGGGCGAGATTGTGATTCGAGGAAAGCTCTGGAAGCCGGCGGGGGTGAAGACGTGGACTTGGACTCGAGAACTGTTGAGGGTGTAGTTTGCGGTAGTCGAGGGCCCATGGAAAAGTAATAGAGGAAGATGGCCTAGCAACGGATCTGCGGCGTGGTATAGAGTGACATTGTCAGACGACAGCGCCAACTCCTCGGTAACGCGAACCATGGCGAGGGTGTCAGAATAAACCGTTGGTCAAGAAGGGTTTCGATGTGTGTTGACGTCGATGTTGACTTGACGGGCGGTGGTCTCCAAGTTGGGCCGCAGATGGAGAGCGATTCGACGAGAAGCAATGAACCAATGGCCCAGCCCAAGATAGACTCAAGCCTAAAGTACAGAGACGAGAGAGACTTTGATATTGAACGAGTCGCCTCCTCCCTCGTCACGGACACAGAGATTCGCGCATGCGGGCAAGTCGATCTAGTTTCGTGGGGGGGGGGGAGGGGGGGTCGTTAGGAAAAAATTGGCTAGGATTAGAAAATGTGACAAGGCAAGGCAAGACAACCTAAGCAAGACAAAGACGAGGGTTTGATTTTGGAGGTTTGAGCTTTGGCCGTAGTCGGGCGGGAGTCAACAAAGGCCCAGAATCGGGAGCGGGAACACAAGCGAACAAGTGGGTCCCATCGGTTTCGAAAGTAAACACACCAACTCGGGCAACTAAACTCCACTGGGACCAGCCCAGAAACCCACTAAAATTTACAGGTCAGGTCCCTACAACCCGATACGATCCTGCGTCACACAGATTCACTTTTGATGTTGCATTCAACCAACAGTTGATCAACAACACGTGAAAGAACAACAAACCTTGTCATTGAATCAGATTGTATTGTTGTTGTTGTTATTCACGTCTGCAGCTAGTACGATACCAACTCAGTAGTCTTTGTCTCCATGATACTTGGTACCTGTTCGTATGTTGTGTCCTAAATAAACTCGGTGGCCTAGACAACAAAAAACCTAATCTCAACAACAGCGGTCAAACACCAAATTCAATGCTGACCATGCCCTGGGCGGGGATCAGCGGGAGATCCCTTGTTAAATTCCAAGGCATTGACCGCTAAACCTAGAGAGAGCCCCGCCAATATAAAGTCTCCATAGGCGGCGTCTGACACGTTCAGTTATTTCCGACAACAGATAAGCCTTCTATATGATTGCCAAGGAATATATCTTCAGTATAAATAATTACGTTCTCATGAAGGCTGTCTGTCTTGTTTCTGTTCTACGGGTTAACTACATCATATAGGTCCAGGTGGTGGGTGGCTATTCCGCCAACTCTCCCTTAAAAGCCCGAATAACCTCTTCGGCTCCCCGTATTCCACTCCTCACCGCACCGTCCATATACCCCTTCCAGACCAACGAAGTCTCAGTGCCTACAAAATGCAGTCTCCCAACCACCTCACGCAATGCTTTCCCACTATCACTCGTCAACGTCCCCGGCATCATCACCGGTGATGGGCAACCCCAAATCCAGGGCTGCTTGATCCACTCCTGCAAGATGATATTGACAGGTTCGGGTGCTTTTACACCGACACCACTGAAGACTCCGTTGAATTGCTCCAACACGATTCTTCGTTTCTCTGTGTATGACCACTTGGACCAGTCTCTGCCTCTGTCACCCACGACAAAGCAGGTGATGCTGTATTGTCCATCTTCTGGTGAGCATGTATCTCGCGAGAAGTGAATTGGACCAGTCTCGCATTCTATGATGCCGCTGAAACCAGCGTCACGCCACCACGGCTTGTCAAAGACAAAGATGGCTTTAGACGTACAGCCTAGTGCAGTGCTTTCGCCTAGTGTCTTTTTACTCTCTGGTAGCGGCGGCTCGAAATTGATAGAAGGGTAGAGACACGTGGGAACTGAGACAATGACTCTCTTGGCTCGGAAGTTCTGCTTAGGGTTGGCTGTTTCGATCAAGACACCATCCGAGCCTTGTTTGATTGTCTTGACGGGGCTGCGAAGTCTCACAGACGTCTTTGGGAGTTTTGCTGCTAGACGGATCGAAAAGGTCTGATTGCCTGTTTCTTGTCAGCTGAAGGCTCACTTCACGGTAGGTTTGAGGTGCTGACCCTGTCTGTTGCGCAAATATTGCCCTCCGTCCTTCTTATCAGAAGCCATATTATCCAAGCCCGTACCGCTGCGGATATAGTCGACCATGAACAGGGCGCTGACTTCATCTGGCCCAACACCCAAGAGAGGACTCGTAGCCGCATCAGCAACAGCAGGACCAAGTTCGGGTCCCAGATACTTCACACTGAGTTGATTGAACGTCATAGAGTCCAGCATCTCGGCTTCAGGATGAGCTGAAGGATTCTCTGGGTCAATCTCGTCAACCCACTTGTTCAGCTTCTCAATGAGTTTCTGAACAATGTCAGCTGCATCTGGAGGTACAGGCATTCCGACACCATGGGTTATCTTGGTAACATCGCCATTTGCCTCCTGGTGCAGATTGTACCCAGTGGCTCTCTGCTCGATCAGATCAAAACCAAACTCTTGCGCAAGCTTGAAAATCTCGCTTTGGTTCGTATCATTGAGCCAAGCGGCGCCGAGATCGACTTTACCTCCCAAGTGAGAGGCATCGACGCTGAGAGTCTTGCCGCCGACTCTATCGCCAGCTTCGAGAACGATAACAGAATGGCCAGCTTCATGGATTTCAACAGCCGCACGAAGACCAGAAAGGCCTGCGCCGACGACGACGACGTCGACTTTCTCTGGCAAGTGTGAATTAGTGATGGTCATTTTAAGATGAATGGAGAGGTAAGGAGGAAAAGAGCAAAGCTGCTACTCTGACATATTTATACGCTACACAACAAGGGCGGCTAAATCCTTCTTGAGGCTATAATCTGACATAACTGAAACAGATTGGTAGTCGTACACCTTCTAGGTCTGAGCATCTTACTCATTGTCGTACTGTTTGTGAGGGTGAGATTTGCTCATTGATCGTCCCTGATGAGGCGAAGAGGTCAGCAAAAGCAATTTAAGCTTCTTTTATCTTGGGCTTGAATAGATTTATCAATGAGCGATAAACATGTGCTTTTGTAATAGAATTTTCCTTTGGATCTATAATTAAGTATGCATTTTCATTCATAACAATGTTTTTCAACGCGCCCAATTCCGCCTTTTCGTCCCTCATTATGGAGGGGCACCAGAGATAAGATCTTATGACATATTATCTATCCGCATAAGCATGGATATTTCTGTACCTAGCAATCTGATTATATTAGGTCTTACAATTATTCGGAGTCTTTACAAAAGCAATCGCATATATCACTCTTTCTGGCAAAGTTTTGTCTTCACCCATCAGTGTCACTTATTCATCTCAGCCTCCAGAGTCCAATGGGAGATCTTCACGTGGGACCCCACGCCCACTTCACTTTTAGCGCGTCATGATACATCCCTCCTCTCTCATACACCAAACACTATCCATCTCAACCAACACAATCACCAAAAAAACAAACCATCGTCACAATGTCAAGCCAATCACGCGGTATCACAGTCCAACACAACCCCTCCCCAGCAAACTATCGCCTCATCGAGCTCCCTCCAGACCTATTATCTCTTCTCGAATCCGACGATGCACCCGTGTAAGTCAACCCCTACACTCTCACAAGCACTATACTAATCTTAGTCAGATTGACCATGGAGAACTCTGATTCATCGGCTATTATCAAAACGCCGACAAAGACGTATGCTCTTCGTCAGAAGAATACTTCGAATGCTCTCATGCTCCTCTCACCTACACCTTTGCCTGCCTCGTCGGATGGACCCGTTGAGCAGGGCATCTCTATCATTTCTACCATCAAGGAGACTGTGGAACTAGATACTGTTCCTGATTTGTCTGCTGGTGCTACGAAAGGACTTGGCGGCGGTAAAGGGAAGTGGCATGAGCGATTTGGGAGAAATAGATAGTGGGCTGTACATGAATATTATGATATGCTTTGATTACTTAAAGGATATGAGTCAAGGTGTTGCCTTCCTACCATTAGAGCATACAACGCTCACCGCATGCCTCTCGAGAGGTAGAAAGTATCTCATTAAAAGAAATAAACGCCGTCTAACAACATGACGAAGACTCCGGTTTCGCAGTCCATGAAAGAGATGACGCTATCCCACAAAATATCTGCAGCACCCTACTGAATCCATCACCATGCTCCCATTTCCCTCACCTTCTCCAGGCCTCTTGCACCACTTACTAAAGAGTACGTGGTAGTCAGATTGGGTCGTGTCCCTCCTTGGCCCTATGCACAGTCAAGTTTCTGAGAAAGGCAGCTGTCTGTCCTCTCAACCAAGTCCTTTCGCTCATCAAGCCCGGTCATCGCTACCCCTGGCCACGCCAATGCTCCATTGCGTCAAATTGGCCCATCATGTACCCTAATGGTTCAAAATTCATCATTCCTTGAAGGTTTATCCCTGGGATCACTGGGCCCGGATCTCCTGGTGCTACTGGGACCGCTGCAGCCTGGGGTTGTTGTTGTGCTTGCTGTGCCCCTGGCAGTGGTGCTCTATTACCAAAGCGAGCAACTGCATTCTTAAGGCGACGTCGGATCCCCATGTGTGCTTGCTGCTGGACTGGGTTCTGCATTCCTTGCAGGCCGTTCATCGGAAGAGGAATTTGGGCTTCTGCCACTCGCTGGGCATTGCCATTGGCCTGGACATCGCGGATTTGTTGGGCGTAGGCTTGCGCTTGGGCATGGGCTTGCTCGTGCCTCAACAAAATATCAAAATTCTCTCGAGGGATAAGGTATGGGTTCTGTCCTTGTACTTGCTGTGCGTGTTGCGGTGGGACATTGAAGAACGGCCTAGGCATTTGGCCTTCAACGTCCTGCAGCGGCGGCATAGGCATGAAGTTGACTCGATCCCTATATCTGTGTCCAAACTTATTTTTACGCCGCATGTCGTCTGTCTTGACCCTTTCAGACATGTTGAAATTTAGAAGTTCAGGCGCTGATGCAAGCTCTGGATTCTCCTCCAGGACCTTTTGCTTGGCGGCCTTTTCAGCCTCATTGACTTCGTTTTCATGACGCTCTTCAGCACTCTCAAATAAGGGACAGTTGCCTTGTTTGCCTCCTCGTCTCTCATCATTGAAATGATCATAGTCACAAGACTTGGAACAGACGTAGCACTGAACGTTGCCACAGCCTTTGCGGGTGCAAGTCATCTTGTTGCAGCCTTCTTCCTTGATAAAAGGGGTACGGCCTACCAAGACATTAGCAGTTAGTACAAAGGAAAGAATCTCGAATGAGCGTCATACACTTGTTGCATTTGCGGATGAGGGCTGAAGACATGGCCTCTTCCACCTCCCGCCGCAAATCGACACCTCTTTCGATGGCTGCCTCCTGGCAGGTTTTCGGTACATGTGTTTCGTAGTTACAAAGCCGGCAACTCGTGATCTTGCAGTCGTCGTTTCGGCACCGGAATTCTCTATCGACGTCAACTGGCGGGTACTCCTCTGCATAGTGACAAAAGGGGCAGTTGACGAGGTCAGGTAGTTCAGCCATGCGCAGATTGGCCTCTTGTTCAATTCGATCGATTGCCGCAGTTAGTTTCTTATTCAAGAACTTCTGGCGCTCGCTGTACGAGAACCCAGCCGTGCACCCAATCGTGGACATGCATTCAAGTTCGTACTTGGAAAGGCCAATTTGTGTCTCTGCGTGTCGACGAGCGCAGTTGGTACAGAAAGGCTAAAAGGGTGTCAGCCAGAGATTTCCTGATAACACAGGGCAGTCCATGATATTCCCCAATGCACACAAACCCTAGTCACCATAGTATAGTTGAAGGGGGTAGTACTTACGTGAGGATCATCGCCTTGGCAATAGACAAGTCTGTTCCACGGAGTATCGACAAAGCAACACCCGCACTCGGTTACTTCTCCTCTTGCATCTGCCGACTCAAGGTTCATCCTCTCGGCCTCCTCGGCCAATGCTTCTGCCCGACGCTTTTCAACTACATCCCACTGCAGTAATCTAGCAGCTTCGAGTTCCCTCATCAGTTCTTTCTCCCAATCGTTGTGGCAGGTTTGTATGGACGTGTCGATTTTGTCTTTTCTGTATCGCTGTGCCGGCATTGATGGTGTCTTCTTCAATTTCCAAGGTAACGGATGATGGTCGTCTGCCTGATTGATGGCAGTATTGATGGCAATAAATGTTGGGAAAAGGCGGTTTCCGTTGTCAGAAAGGGTCTGTTGAATGACCTTTACTGGTACCAATGGGAAATCCCCTGCGATCATTTGCTTGCTGTGTCAAAGTTAACTGGGCGGTCCTCAACCCGAATCTCGGTCATGCTGGCGCGAAGCTCTAACACAAAAAGCCACCCACATAATCACGGAATATATGCGGTCGAAAGGGGAGATAAACTTACATAGTGGCCATTTGGGTACTCTTCGGAGCAATGACATGTCCTTCAAGGTTACTGTACTTGCGCTTTGCTTCAGAGAGTCTATCCTGAAGTTTCTCGTCTTCATCCTCGTCATCTTGTCCTTCGGTCGCGCGCTTCCTCTTGCCGATGGTCTGTTTCGGTCGCTTTGCTTTTTGATATGCTTGCCCAGACTCTTGGAGATCGAGAAGATGATTGATCACTTCATGAGGGACGAATGAAAGAGGTCCAGCGATCTTCTGGACATAGTCGAGACAGATGTCGGGGAATAGAGCAGTGACTTCATGTATGCAAGTATCTTGTAGAGGCGGAGATGATTCTTCGGTCTCGCTTTCGGGATCCTCCATCCTCGTGATGGTGTAGTTCTTTGGCTTGTTGTGCGCAATTAAAAGCTGAGACCTAAGGTTGATGATGGTTAGAAATGAAAGGAGGACAAAGACAAAGGAATCAGAGTCTCGAAGAGCCCTGTTTTTTGTTTCTGATCTGGCGGTGGATTGATCTGTATCACTTCCATTCCGAGAGCTTGTGAATAATGTTGCCGCCAGCTGACACTGCGCGCGCAGATATCCTTCACGAATAAATGTTCTGGCAGCGTGTAGGGGCATAGACTATAGAGAAGAAGAAGCAGTGGCAGTAGGGGACAGAACGAGGTAATTGCGACAGTGAATCAACACTTGCAAGGACTGTCACATAAGTACTAATGGTATTGGCGTCGCACCCTCGCACCAACCCTTCACTTTCACCTCAAGACGACGGTCTCTTTCACTTTCCTCGTCTCCTCCGAAACAACGCCATGCGCAAAGGCAAATGAGAGTCAAGTTTCGCCATGAAGAGGGAACTGAAAAGTGAGGGCGGCGTCCACGGTGATAATGACGCCACGGCTAAACACAAAAGCTTATGTCCATGATTGTAATTGGCACTCTTCTCTGGTGATGATAAGTTTCCAAGATATACGAGAAGCCAGTCCGCGACTTTGCGGTGCGTGGACTATTTTGACTCGTTGTTTGTTTGTTTGTTTGTGCAAGGACATGAGTGAGATAGAAGAACCTCGATTTTCTTACCTGCGACAGAGGTATTAGATTTGTAGAGGTTGGTGAATACTCAGCAAAGGCGCTCGTCTCAAAGTCGGACACTGGGCTTATGCTGGTCGATTGTATTGCGATTCGCTATGAGGAATGATCGAGGGAAGCGACGGTCGTATCGTGATGTTGAGATTGATTAATTCGAGGTCGGTTGACGATGGTTGATCGAGTGATGGATTTAGAGGATAAATAGAAGACGAAATAGAATAGAAGAGAAGAGAAGGTAAAAAGGCGTTGGGGCTTCTCGCTTATAATGGATGGGAAGAGAGAGAATGAATGGCCAGCTCCTTCTATCCTTCTTTGTGCTTTATTCAAGACTCCATCGGAAAATGGATGAAAGGTGATTGTTTAATGATCGCACTATCGCAGTTCGAAGCTGCCTCGTTTCAAACCCCCGCTCGCTTCAATAGAGTAGAGGTTCGCCAACAATGAAATGTTAAGATAACAATACGAAATAGGAAACTATGTAAGGGGAAAGAAGAAGTTGAAGAATAGAGAGTTAGAGGGAGGCACAATATGCCATAGGAGGGTGATTTATTCAAGAATTAATCCGTCAACCATAGAGTCGAAGATTCATAATGTTGGAATAACTTCATGGGAAAGAAGGTAGAAGCTCACGAGATGCGGAGTAAGAGTCAGACGAGATGGGAGCTGAGTGAGTGACTGACGACAAAGCCAAGATATAGAACAGAGGCTATAATACTCTTTGTGTTTACGAATTCGACACCAACTAATGCAAAGGACATGCAGGGAAGACTTGGTTGTGGTGATAGAGTAATTCAAAGGATTAAGAAGCCCAAGTTCAAAAGATGACGGAAGAAACCTTGGGTCTTGTGATGGATGGATGCGTTGGTTTGTAGGTAAATAAATAAGCTGTCGCACTTGGGTATGATACGATGCGACATCCAATTTGAATGAATGGTAGCATTAGCCTGGACCTAGGTAGAGCTTAGGTTGCTTTGCTTTAGTACAACTACAACAGAGCATGGACAGCGTTTGTGGCTTAAGGTTTCTACGGAAGGGATCAAAGTCAGTCAATCGAACTCAATCAATCAATGAGATGCTTCCTCCAAATGTATGTGGATGGATGTGGATGGGCAGATGAGGGGCTGTCAGTTGGTCATTCAGCTGAATAACAACCAACAACTCCTTGCCAGGTCAATATCCGCCTATCATTTTAGCCTAGAAGGTCTATTCGCATAATCCATACACTCTAGGAGTAGATGCATTACTCACTTATTCTACAGCACAATGCTAAAGACGGCTTATTTAAATGATACTGATCTCCAAGAACTACCTATTCAACTGTCTGTCCTCTCGCTCTATGAACTTGTCACCTCAAGTTCTCATAGTTGAAACAAATCAGTTTTCAGTTACACAAAATTCATATCCTATCAAACAGGCAATGCACAGATCCGTGGTTTGTCAGCCCAAGAGCAATACAAAATTCAATAGTGTATAAACTTCGCAAACGGATACTTCCCGTCCCCTGCAAACCGACAACTGACAGGCATTATCATTATTCGTACTATCACATTAATATCATATATTGCAGTGAGCCGGACCGCTCAGGGGCCAATCCTACTCATCGTCCTCAGATTCAGCATATGAACCTCCCACCTCATCTTCTTCTTCCATTGCATCTTCATCATACGAGACAACTTTCCGTCCGCTCCGTGTTGACCGTCTAGTTGCACGCCCAGCTGAAGGCTTTTCCTTGGCTGCTTTCGCTGGGCCTCGTCTCCTTGTCCTTGCACTCATTTGCGGCGGCTCAGACTCTGCCTCGGATTGCGCCTCCAGTTTGGGTTCCTCTTCCTCTTCATGCTTCCGCCCTGCATCAAACTTTGTGTTCATCGGTCGTGACTCCGATTCAGACTCCGGCCCTACTTCGACCTGCGATTCCGGGGCCGGTTCTTGTTTGCCGTCAACCTCCATCTGCATCATTACTCTTTGCTGATCTGCGCCGTCATGCTCCATCACTAGTCCATCATCGCCGTCATCGTCCTCATCAACAGCGGGGAAGAAGCTCGAAGTGTGGTGAGCCGGTAGTTCCTCTTCCTCCTCTTCTTCCACGTACCCCTCTGGAAGAAATCCACCAGCCATGTCTTCATCCTCGACCTGTGGTTGCTTCTTGATCTGGACCGAGTCTCTAGCATGCCCAAACACGGATATTTCATCAGTAATTTCGCCATACTCCAGTCGAATTCGTTCTGCAATACGCATGCCCATGAGGAAGCGACGCCATTGAGCTAACGCCTTCTTTCGTCGCTTCTCATCTTCCTTTCGTGCGCGTTCTGCCTCATCCTTCTCGAGCTCTACCATCACCATATCGTGGTTCTCCTGAGCAATCACAACACCCTGGATGACAGGCACAGCCATACGGTGGCCAAATTCAAAGTCCACAACGGCTTCTGCATAGTCGATTTGTAACTTTTTACAAACACGCATAGCCCCTCGGAAGGGTACATGCACAGCACCCTCGGGACACATATGTTCAGCAAACAAGTCAATATTCCTGCGGCTCGGTTAGTAGGTTCAAATTTGAAGAAGCATTCGGCTACATACCCGTATTCGTTTTTAGGGATAACACCGTCCTTGATCGGTGGCGGAATGATCCAGTCGGTTTGCTCCCAGCTGTAGAGCCCCTGCAGGACCTTTGCTCCTGTGGCAGCTTCTGCTTCCATGATTTCTCGCCGGCGATTTATTGTAGCTGCACGGTAGGGTACCCTCTTCAATGGCTGCTCTCCTACCAGTGGTGCCCGTCCCTGCTTATGCCAGGTCTCGGCACTCTTGACGTTCAGGACATCGCTGCGCAAGAACACGTCCTCTTCCTCGACCTTGCCACCTTTGCCCTTGTTTTTGAATACTTTGACAGCCTTCGCTCCAGGTCTGAGTGCCTCTTCACGCTTCAAGTGCCGCTCGAGGACAAACTCCTTGGACTGCTTGTAGTATTGTAATGTCTCCTGGCCCTCCTTGACCTCCTTCTTTTCGGGCTTTGCAGGCTTTAGATCTGTTGCTTCTTCCATCTCATCGACTTCGGTTATAGGGTAGTTCTTGCTGCCTCTCAGATACCCAGATATTGCGGTTTTGAACCAGTCAAACTGGTCATATCTCTTCACCTTCCCATGACGATTGTAGACGGGAACTTTCTCCGGTGTCATCCTCACTCCCTTTGTACGGCCAGGAAGCATATTCCGTTTCAGATACCTGACTGTGACATCTTTGCCAGTTCCGTCCCGTGAATAACCCACGATGTATGCCATGATTTGACGTGCTTTATCGGCCTTGGCTCCGCGGGGTTCCAAAGATTCGATGAGATCTCGGTTTGTTCCAACTACGTTTTTGACGATAGCATCAACGGGTAGGTATTTGTTAGTGACTGGTGATAGGACTTCTGTCCAATAATGTGGAAATTCCATGTCGGCGTCATATTTTTTGGCTGGTGTCTTGATTGATGTCTTCCTTGGCGTGACATCCATCTCAACGACAGATTCATCATCAGTGTCCTTGTACTCAAGTTCCAGATCATCTGGGTCGTTTTCAACCTCCGTTTTGGGCCTTGTTTTTCGTGTCGGATTTCTCGTGGTCTCTTTCGTTTTCTTGGTAGACTTCTTCTTTGATGTAACGTTTTTTGTCGCCGTTTTCACCTTCTTCTCGGGTGTCTCATTTTTCTGATCCGCGCTTCCATTCGTTTCTGGCTCAGCCTCCTCAAGTTTATTCCATCCGAAGCCTAGGCAAGGCAAGTTTGCGACCATTCGCGCTTCAAGGCCCAATCCACGAAGCAGAGCTGTAAACAGCTGGGCACCTACATCTCTACTCCCTTCACAGGTCCTCGCATGATGTCTAAAATCCTCAAGGTTTGAGATCTTCTCACCAAATTGCTCTGGATTATGGGCCTCAGCTTTTTGCGCTTTTGTAAGACGGTCTAATCGCTCAAGGGACATATATCCCCATTTCCTCAATCCTGGCGCGGTGACTCGAAAACGCTGTTTCCACCAAGCTGACAACGTTTGCATAAGTCGAAATAGGGGATCTCCATGACTCATATCAACAGCCCCTTCTTCCAATCTCTCAGCCTCTGCACCCCAGTCGCGCGACTTTCGGTCCGGGACCTTTTTGCCTTTACCTTTCGATTTTGCGTTTTCCCTTGCTGGCTTCTTAGGCGTCGGCTTCTTTTCTAGACCACTGTTGCGCCTCCATCGATCCACCTCATCCCAGAGTCTTGGAGGAAGATGAGAGATCATAGTCGCCTGCACTTCGGGGTCACAAAGCCATGCATTTCGGGTAGCATTGTGCCATAGAAGTAACATGACGTGAACGCAATGTGTGGCATGCCGGACCTTCCTCTCACGTTTTGAGGGTCCTTTTCTGTCGAATGTGTTTGTGAGTGAGATTCTGGTGTCCCTTGTGAGTGTCAATTCCAAGTCCCCGGACGTTACCGGGGCGTCCGGCATTGGTGCAACTGGTGCTTGGACATCCTCGAACTCAATGTCTTCATCGTCCTCAGAATCCTCTTCCTTGCCTTTCAATTGGTTTGGTGGCACAACATCCTCGAATTCATCTTCTGACAACGATGTCAAAGAACTTGCATCATCATCATCATTTCCAAATCCATGGAGGATCGAGTTTGAGTTAGGTGTCGCGGATGCATCCAGGTCATCGTACAGTGTTGCTTTGCGCCGTGATGAATCGGGCTTCTCTTTGGCTGCTTTTGATGCTCTGCCTTCTCCAGGTGGCGGCGACTCACGCAAGCGTTTGCGTGGTACTAAAGGAGGCATCTTGATATCGTAAATAAGATTGTCGCATTCTGCGAAGTAGGATGAGTTAAAGCTTGATGAACGGCTTAGACTAAAGCGTGGTGGGTACTTCGTCATAGAAGACGGGAGCACGGGAGGCAGACGCGCGATCACGTGGTTCGATACAGAGGCAGCAACATAAACTGCGGCATAAAATCAAACGTATCAGTAAGCAAAATACCAATTTATTCGAAGAATTCAGTCAATGGGATCAAGAGTTTGTATTCGTTGAATAGTACCTACAGCGTTTCTGACTTGGACTTTTTTTGATAGGAGAAGTCTTATACATTCACGATGGGTATAGGTACAACGGTGCTTCACCATTCTCATGTTAGAACACAGGGGAACCAAAGGAAACCACCAATATAATATGATACTCTTTTCTCAATAAACAAATACATTGATATCATTCCTCTTGGTATCAAATTGCCCAACGCCAGGCCATGCATCTCTATAGGTAGCCAATCCAGAAAACACAACGCTCATGCCTCAATCAGGTCTGGTGTAGCTGGTCCAACGCCACGCAGCAAAACCACAGTGTTCCCACTCTGCAACGCCGTTCCAACCTTTTCGTTATACTCCAAAATTCTGCCTCCTTCAACGTGGAAGACACGAAGCTTGTCCTTCTCATCAGAGCTTTGGTTGTTGATGTTTTGTACTTGCAGACTCCTTGCTGCAGCATCCAGAACTCGACCTACAACCCAATCCTTGTTGTAGAAGAACTCTCCCTTAGGAAACTTGGCCTTCGCTGTCTCTGCCTCTGCCTCCACATAGATATACACTCTTTTCTCAACAGGTGTCTTGTCGTCGCCCTTGGCTGTCTTCTTCAGGTTGTTTACAGCAATGACACGCGCTGAGGCAGAGCTTGGCTTTGGTTTGGGCAACGCTCTGCCAGCTTGTTCTTTCTTTGCTGTACCCCATGCGCGCAGTTTGTCGAATGCCGTCTTTGTCTTCTGACCAACATCGAATTGCATAGGTCGAGCTCCGATGGGTACCAAATTACTGCAATTGTGGTCCTCCTTTAGACGATGCTTCAGGCAGTAATCTCGGTTACACGTTTGACAGTGTACACCAGGCGTCAAAGATGTGCCGATTGTAGTCTTGCATTCAGGTGATGCGCAAGGCTTCTGAGACACCTTGTCCCTTAGTACCTTTCCCTGTCCAATACTGGGCTGCGCAAGCTCTCTCTGGCGCTTTCGCTCCGCCCACGCACCGGGATTTGTACATTTATGTGCTCCTTCGGTTCGGTGATCGAGACAGAATGTCTTTCGGCATGACTGACAGAAGAAAGGGAGAAAGTCGAGTTGGTTGCAGTAGTCATATTCACAGTGCTTGCCGATCAGCGTGGCTTCGTTTTTGTCGTGCATTTCGACGTAGCTGGTATTTTGAGCTTCTGGTGTGTTTGATGACGCCATGGTGAAGATGTTTCGTATTTAAAAATGGTAGAAAGGCTGCGTTACTCGTAGGCAGAGGTGTTGTCGCAAGTCTCCGTATGAAGATGACAGATACAAAAGGCGGCGGCGAGGAAACGTCTGGAAGGGTCCGTGTATGACCAAGCTTGGCAGATTACGAACGAGTGTGCCACAAGCTTTGACACGTCGAAAGGGAAAAAGAATGAGGCGCGATTGAAGAGAGAAGAACAAAAACAAGGTCCCGAAAGGCTTTTGTGAATCATGCACGTAAATCACGAGTAAGAATCACAGGCTTGTTAATAACTTATAAGCTCCGTTTGGCGCACAGCCACTTCCAGAAACCAGGTTAATCGCGGGGTCTCCTCCCCACCATGGAGTTCATTGTTGCATAATTGGATTGGTATAAGCCTGTAGCCGACTCTGTGTCGCCTACACGATTCCTACGTATTGATCGAACATCGAAACATGAGTTGAGCGCCTTCCACCTCCCAAAACGCCGAGTTTGTGGTGTAAAGTCTTGTATTACAGTTCCTTCTCCTTTGGCCTCTTGGCCAGCAAATCCTCGCGACCCGTCGTAGGCGCATTGCCTACTGCGGCCTTACCTCCGAACGTCTCGAACCCTTTGTGGAACGCCCACTCGACAGCGTTCTCGACAGGCTTGTCGAACATGGCTGGGAGGAAGGGAACTACTGCGAGACCCAAACCGATTGGAGCCCATGTCCTGATGGTCTGGTTCTTCATGTTCTTCATGGCTCGGCCGGAATACCTCACAACACTATGAATAGTGAAAGCAGGCAGTCCCATACTCGCGACACTCTGGAAGATTGCGCGCTGTACCATGACAGTGCGATAGTCTTCAAGCGGTGGCACCGTACCCGGCTCAATCGGACGTGTCTCGGTGGCAGGAAGGCCAGTAACCTTCTCTTGTCGAGGAGAGAGTTGCACCTTGGGGTTCAACACACGCTGATTGTGCCAGTATGACTTGTAACCTTCATACGAGACATCGCCGATAAGATACAGCCAAGATACACCGTAGGCAGCGCGAACGAGATTGGGGTGAGCTACGGGTCGGAACGACTCTCCTATGTCCGAGGTGTAGGCTACGTATCGATGCGCAGACAGAAGGATTGTTCGAATTCGCGTAGCATAGGCTGCATATCGAAAATTGGTATCGGTTGAGTCGGGGCCACTATATTCGATTAGCTGGTGTTACACCTTCGCAAAGACGCACATACTAGCCATCGGTTATGTCGTCAAAGACATTTCCGTCTCTTCCTGTCTTGTTGACAGCTTGCTGAACACTCTCTGGTAGCTGGTCCTTTGAGGGAAGCTTCTCAACGATAGTGTCTTTGATCTGAGTTGCTTCGTTCTTCTTCTCCTCCGGCTTGGGGTCTTTTGATTTACCCCACCAAGACATTTCAAAGACCGAACAGAAAATCAGAAGAGAAACTAATGAGGTTGTTTGAGGAAAAGAAAGATGCGATAGCAAGCTTTCAAGGCAGTAGAAGCTTCCATTTTGATGGCCCGCCGCTACCGTACCTTTACCCACTGGAATGGCTGCAGGCTGCTGCAAGAAAGTTGAATAACCCTGGGTCAGTGACGTTGCTTCCGTAGATCCGATTGATCCCGATCAGCGATATGATCCGGAGAATAACCGCACACTCTGGGGCAGTTCATCCACTTTAGGCCTGTAATTCCAGGCACAAGCTCTAAGTTGAATTTGAGAGCTCGGCAAACTATCTCAACCGCAACATTGGAACATCCACCCATTGCCTTCGTCATCACCCAATTCGTCCTTTTCGGTCTTGTCTAATTATTCACAATGGCTGGTATCGCTTATTACACAATTGCTGGCAAGCAGGTCGCCGGTCACTACGTTCGTTCAACCTCAATTGCGCTCGCCGCAAACCAGAGACTTCTAAAACTAACATGAACGACAGCTCGCCATGGCCTGGTTGGGAACTCTCGTCGTCGGCACCAAGCTTGCCCTGTCTGGCGGCTCTTCTAAGCCGACCGCTACTGCTACTCCTCCCATCAACGCCTCCAGCTCCGACGAGGCCGACTTCATCAAGTGCGCGAATTCACCTGACGATGCTGAGCCTTCATGGACTAACCCCATAACAGGAACTTCCTTGATCAGCAGGACAAGAAGAACTAGACGGTTGGATCGAGGACGATGGTCGTATGGTTGTTTGGATGCGGTGTACGTTTATAAGTCATGCAGACATGAGCTGTTCATCGAGCCGGACAGCCGAATTCAGATACCAACAAAAGCCGGTTTCGCCAATTGTGGCATAACGAAGAACTATTCCCCATTGTGATGCACTCGAGGATACGCCTATTAAGTGCGACTGTGATTGATGCGGAGCTGGCTGGATCCCGATACCGAACTCTGGCCCAGAATATGCCCTTCATATCTCTATGACCTGAGGTTTCCTGGAGCTGCGTAGCAGTCATGATGTGAGGGAATGCTGAGTGTCATGTTACGATCGACATTTCGCAGCGAGTGCGATCCCGTTACTTGGAGAAATCGATCTTACCTTTCACTTTGATCTCCACTAGGCACACGGAACTCGGGTATTCCTGGACATGCCAATTCGAGGGGCTTTATCGTTTTGAACCGATTCTCAACAGGGAGGATTGCGTTTTCAGTTCGGCACCCTCTTGTTCTGTCATGTTCGTCCCTCGCAGTTCAATATATGTCATCGATCTCGGTACCAATCAACTGCATCTGGCTCGAGACTTCAGCCTCGCTACATGAATGTAAATGGACCCGTATGCCGATTTGAACATGGAGACTGTTTTGATACTATTTGGTGATCTGGAGTTCCCAAGCATATACAGCTGATTTTGTCCTCTAGGATAGCTTGAATTTGGACCTGAAAAGTGAGGCAAACTCCCTCTTCTGTTACATGAATATCCAATTCGCTGTAGCAAGATTGACGCGGCGAGTTTCTTTCCCTTTGTTCAAGATCTTGCCATAAGGGGCAATGTTCTCGAAGGATGGATGCATGTTATACAGCGTAAACCCATAAGGCAAACTTATCGCTATGCTCACAACCTTACACTGCATGTTGTCATCAATAAATCTATAATCTCTATTACACACTTATATGCGGTTCTACTTTTGGTAAATACAATAACGCTAAGATACAAAGTAAAATGAGTAGTATCAGTTCGATACATACTCCAAAGATGCTTGTCCTGTTCGACCGAGCTGCCACATTCTCAAGGCAGACATCACCACCATTAGAGACCACCGATCTCCGAAGTTCTGCTGCATTGCTTTATCCGAGAACTCAATCTTGCATGTCTTCCATGCTGCCTCCTTCCACGAGGCCATAGCGAGATATTCCAATGGCGCCTTCATATCTCCAGTTCGATAAAGCTTGAATTCGTGGCAGTATTTGGGATCCTTGGCCGCTTGGAGCGGTGTCATGGACCACTCGAATTCTTCCCGAACAAAGCTACAGTCTTGGACTGTCTCTGCTTGCTTTGTTTCTATTGCCCATCGAAATACCACGCACTGCTCAGTTTCATCGTATAGTGCCTGTACGATTTCAGTGGCAACCCTAATATCGATATCTGACCCAGGGGCTGCGGATACATTGACAATACTCTCGACAACACCTGGGTCAGATAACCCGTCCCGCAGCGTCTCGCCAGCTGCTGCTAGTATTTCGTCCTTTCCGGTTGGTCCGTTGTGGAGGAGTAGACATGGTGAACCTGAATTTCGGCCAAAAAGTCCGGAGTGTTCTGATACAGCAAACATCTTTGAGCAGCCATCATTGCCGAGAAAGAAAGTTCGCAGTTTGTTCCATTGCCAAGATATCTTCAGGGTTTTTGGTATTGGGCGGTATGGTGTATCCACACACTCGCTGACCAGGGCTGTACTGGACGGCGTGAGAGAGTTGAAAAGGGCAATTCTTGTGGAGGAAGATGTCGTTGAAGCAGCCGTTGAAGATCTGGCGGTTCCTGGAACTCTATAATGTGGCATGGAGCCATCGTGGTCTCCCAGTGTGCTGGCCATGATGGATGATTCTTCAGGTTGTTCTGGAACAAGTCGACGACAAGGGTAGGGTATGATGTATATGTGCAGCGAGTAGCGGTGGCAATATTTGCGTATCGACGACTACCTACGTATAAGTCGTTATCTCAATCAATGTCTGGCATGTTGAAGAGCAGGAAAGGGGACTGAAACGGCTGTAGAGGAACAGAAATATCACACAGCCAGCCAGTCAGGTACATATCGACTTATTAGTGTATCGGCAGATCGCCATGCAGACGAAACTAGTGCGCACATGTTCAAAGTTCTCGAACTCTAAGCCAAGTGGCGACATGGTTCATGCTCAAAGCGGGGATACCTGAACAGGAAGTTGACGGACATATCGAGAGCCGCTAGTCATGTAATCAAGTCTCTGGTTTGCGTTATCAGAGTCTGACGAGTTCTTCTGGGGATAGCTTAAACGAGTCTTTATGATAGTTTGAGGTTAATGCTTGTAAGGAGTAGGCGAACGAGGAAACCATTAGAGCAGCATCTCTGTTTTTCTTACAACCTGATCATCCGTTATCCGTTGCACTGCCTATTAAGAGTCAGTGCGAGACCGGCCCGGAGGTTGTATTCCTGTCCATCCCGTTTCTACCCACTCTCAACGGTTGGCCGAGTTCTTGAACTGACACATGAGCTCCCGATTTATACTCAACTGGTATGAATCTTTAGTGACAGCTCACAGAGTTTAACTATGACTGTAACCAACCATACGCCTTGGCGAATCGTCGTAGCGAGGAGTTTATCCTTTTACGAGGATTCATCATGACATGCATGCTTTTTCTAATTAGGTAACATGGAAATTTGTGCCGAAACGGAGGAAACCCCATGTCCAATTATCCTGGCATGCTTATGGCCGTGATCCTTGTGGACATCCATGCTTCTATCAAAGTTGCTGGAAACAATCAGGACTAGCGATTCAGTCTAGTACATTATCGAGGAGGCATATGTCGAGGCCATTAAGAGCATTCAATATCATGAATCTTGTAAAGAATGCAGTGAAAGAAAACAGGTGAGATTGATATGAAGACGAATCAGAGGTCACAACTCTATTTCAACGATATTCTCTTCTCAATAATGCCATGATCATGATTATTTCTGCTATACAGTATGATTACCTAATCCTCCGTTTGACGCACCTGCCCTCTAATTCATTGGCGGACATGTCACGTGACGTCCGTACAAAGCTTACTCCTCCCCCGCCATCGACATTCTCTCGCCAAACAGCCATCAACTATCTCCTTAATCGAAACATCCCAC